GTCTGTACTCCTGATATCCCTGTTGCCCACTTGGGACATAAAGACACCAAGCTAGGTACCTCGTTGCTCCGACCAGCGCATAAGCTTCTAATATTCCCTAGCATCTCTTGGGATGTTGTGCCTTGTATTTGTGGAGTGCTTAATGGCGACTGTCGATTCATTGCTTCACTTGGACAATCCTTCCTTATATGCCCTGTCTGCTTACATCCATAGCAGAGTGTAGGTATTATGTTTTCTTAGAATTCAAGGTTAACATTCAGCCCAGAGATGATGACAAATAAAGACTTATTTGTAACTTTGAAACTACATGGTTGTAGTGTGCCTTTATTCGATCACGGAATCGATGGAAACTGCACGCTGTACAATGGGCAATGCGGATATGCATATACATGTACATACAATATTATGTCAAAACATGCATCAACTTAATTCAGAGGTACGTCATACATAACATTCCTCCCCCTTTTAGTTAATTAGAAATGTTTATCCATGAAGAAAACTTGTTGTTTAAAATTGAAACCCCCATTTGACTTTCACCACTTCTAGATCTGAGATTGCAGTATATTCACAAGATCACTCTGGTGTTGTAAGAGCTTCTTTGACTTCTGGAAAGAATCCTCCTGTCTCTGAGTCCACTTGAACTTTGGGTCTGATTCATCAGGACTTCTCTTCTTTACTGTGCTCTTCATAGATGCATATTCTGCTCTCAACAACTCTGTAAGAGGCGCTATATTTACACCGAGATTCAGGATGAATCTCCTGTAGTATCCGAGAAGACCAATATACGCTTGCAACTGCGTCTGCTTCACTTGGCGTGGTGCTTGTTGAATGGCTTCAAGCTTCTCTGGTAGTGGGCTAATACCATCCCTATCCATCTTGTGACCTAGATACACTTTCTTGAAGGAGAACACATTTTGTAGACCGTTTGTCCGGCAGAAGTTTGAGTACAGTTTCTAGATTGAACAAATGATCCTCATCTGTCTTCCCACTGAAGATGATGTCATCGCAGTAAGGGCGGCACATCGGAATATCTCCTACAAGTGTCTCCATTGTTGTCTGGTACAATGCTAGAGCACTGGCTATACCAAAGGGTGATCTGATACACTGATACAATTTTCTACAGGTTTTGATAATAGTGTAGTGTCTGACTAATAGCTTGGTCCAATAATTGGTACCTTGTTTTCAGTGTATGTCTTCAACATAGCATTTGACAGATTTAAATCCGACTGATCACCACAAAGATTGAATATCTTTGCTGAGATAAGTGTCCAGAGGATGCCTGTGTCTACCTCCATCTGAAGACTTCTACCATTAACCAATACTGAAGCTTGGTATGGCGGGATTGCAATCTTCATTAGCGTAGCACCTTCAATGTGGTTTAAATTATTGCCAGAATAATTTTCCTTTTGTGGAACCTGTGGTACGTCTTCATTCTCCTAATGATGCAACTGTTGTGGTTTCTTTTTCCAAGCTTGTCTTGTTTTTTTTAAAAATCCTGCTTTGCACTGGCTTTTAATGTCCAATTTCCTGGCATTTTAAGCATTTATCTTTCTGAAACAGACAAAATTGTGGAACATGTTTTGTTGATCCACAATGCCAACACTTAAACTTCTTGTCATTTATGATTCTGAGGAGCAGTTGACCTCAGCGTTGAGGAATTGGCACCCCAAAACGAGTTTGCCAGTTTGTGTAGGAGGTTGTTCCTTGTCCCAACTTTACCATTCACCTTTTGAACATGCTGTTTGTATGAAAGGGTTCCGTGATTTCAAGGTTGACAGGGTGATCGCAGTGTTTCAAGGAGACATCGTTCTATTTTAGGGACAGCTTCCTCCCAGCATTGTGGTTGCGGAGATGGAACAAGCTAACATGGGTCTCACCTGACTTGGAATTACTAGTCGACTCTCTCTCAGTACACATCTTCCAATGATGCACAGCTCGTCCCTGATGGCTGAATACACCTTGTATGGACATGTATTCCAATCACCCTTCTGGATTCGTTCCCTCACATCTGGCAACTCTGGATCTATGTCAGATTCTTCCTCTATCTCTCTTGTCCTCATTGCCCCTGGGGTTGAGTGTGTGGCAACAAATCTGACAAATGACTCTGCTTCTTCATCGAGCTTCTCAATCTATCCACATCCAACAACCTAGATAGCGCGTCTGCAATGTTTGTCTTCCCAGCTATGTACACCACTCTGTATTGGTAATGCTGAAGTCGAAGCATCCAAGTGTTGTCCCCACGCCTCCCTCTCTGTTTGTGAATACCTTTGCTCAACTAGGCTATAATTCTGTATTCGTCATCTTGCTTCTGCACTAACATGGCTTCAAGTCTCACAGGACTAGCATCTGCAGTAACGTGTGGGGCCCTTCAAATCAAAGTAACCCAAAATGGATTGCTCATAAGAAAGACGAACTCAGCCAGAATATCCCGCTTGGAATTTGATAAGACCTTGAAAAGTGGCAGATGAATTGAACACTATTCGTACTGGAGTAATTTTCTTCTCTGGCCTTATCACCGCATGGTGGGAAATGTAGTGCACTGGCCCCTTGTAACTGTTCATCGCATCATCTGTCAGCTTTATGGAAAACTTCAGCTCTTTTCCATGGTCACCAAGATCTTCTCAGCCTGTATCCTGTTATCTGGTAGAAGATTGGGGTCTTTCTTCCAAGGATAGGAAACTTGCCATTGATTTCCCACCTTCTTGCATGATCTCCTGATCAACTGCTCCTCAATCTCTTCCTGTCTATTCAGACCGCTTTGTTTACACTGGCAGGATGTTGGCCCTACGCCCATAGTCTCCGAACTCCAGAAGTCTGTAAGATCCACAGGGCTTGAGATCTTGAAGTGGCTCATGCTTTCCTGTGCAAATCCTTCTGGTCTCCTGTCAGCAGGCATAGGACTGGTAACCTCAGTCTCTTGATGAGCAGGAAGAACACTAACCTGGCGCCCGATGAGGGACATGAAGAGGTTCTGCCACCGTTGCCAAGTTTGGGATGAACCATGCACAGAAGTTCACTAGTCCCAAAAAAACTTCGTACTGCACTCCTTGTGACTTCATCTCGTCAATAGCTCTGACAGCCTCCTCCCTCTTAGCTAGGGGTAAACAATATGGCTGCTGTAAACTAGGTTGCGCATCACCCATCTCTATCTTGTGTGTGAATATGCTTGTCTGTCCCAAGTCCATTGATCCCTTGGAGAACAGGTCTTGTCATCTCAGTAAAAACTCCCACGTTTCTTCTTGTTGTCCCCCGGACAATCATATGCTACTCCTTTCTTACAGCAACATTAAATGTAGAGCCAACTCTCCTTTGACTTCTCCTGCCCCTCCAATATCTTTTTCCTCTTGAGATGCAACATCAATGACAAAACAACTTGATCACGTTTTCCTACACAAGTACCTTCTTGTAGAGATTGGGTATGCAGATTCAAATTAGATATTCGAACAGGTACACAAGGAGCCTGTAAATCATCCTGCCACAACCATCACCCCTCTGATGAAAAGACCTTCTGGTTCTCCACCCAGAGATCTAATAATGACAGGAGCCTTGCCGTTACTAGCCGTGTTTCGCTCCTCTAGCATGACTAGTTGCCATTTCCCTCTTTCATTGTTGAGGCCTTTACTTGCTCTGACTTGTCTCTGCAGAATTTCTCCAGGTGCCCTGGTTTCTTACAGAACCGCAGGTAGCTTTTTTCTCTCTGCACCGACTCGCAAAACGTCCCTTGCCCTCGCAGTTGTAGCATGGTCCACGTACCCCCTCGGCTGACTCTTCCTGAAGTTGTCACCTCCTTTACGATTTTCTAGGAGTTTTTCGAGTGTCGACACCAATTTATTGAGTGCACTACCGTCTAAATCCGTCTTTACATGTACCTCTCGATCACCCTAACCTCCTTGCTCTGTTGTCTGCTGGCCAAAATAAATGACTCTAGCTCCAGAGCTAGCTTGAGGGTTTCCTGGAGTGTGTTGGGTTTGCTCTGTTTGAGACGGAGGCGCATATCCTCATCCGCCAAGTCATCTATAAATTGTACTGTTAGCTGCTTAACCTTTCTCCAGACATGTCAAAAAAAGAACTTTCAATTAACAAACATCACTAATTAGTCTGATGCATTCTTGAGTTCCGAACCTGCCTGTTGGTGCCATTACATTTCGCCAAGCTACTAATTTATGGTACACCACGTGTCAACCATGTCATCGCATGAAAATTACCATATTTCAATAACTAAAGGAACAAATGAAAATCAGGTCTATATGAAACAAGTTTGCATTCTTATTTCATGAGTGGATTCATTTTGTTTATTCATTTTGTTCCAGAATTAAAGTTTGTGTAGAATATAAAGAGCTTGACCATTGGTAATCCATACATGTAAACCAGTGGAGAATTAAACTCTTTTGTAGCTTAGTCCACCACTATTAGGCTATGAGCTATTGTAACTTGGCGTTGCATTTCTATTGTTGAAATTAAGTTTGGATGTTGTCCGTTTCTGAAGGATGCTTACGAAATCCATAAAAATTTGCATTTTTTTTCCCTCACAAATTATGGAGAAATAAGAAGAGACATGTTTTCTTGAACTTGGCCGAACAAGATAATTTTTGACAGCCATTGATTTATTATGAAGATGCAATGATGCACATTTTTATCTGTTAATATTGGGTTACTTATTGAATGATGTAAAAGGACAAATCCATCCTGATGTAGAATTGAAATGAAGGTAGAAAAAAGGAGAGGATAAGAAGTTGTCTGAAAGTTTCAGAAAAGTCTGTTTAATTAAAATCTGTAGCCCTCCTGCATCTAATGTATGTTAATTATGCATTCAATATACATTTTTTGTTTAATTTCGTTTATTATTTGTATAAAATTATATACACTTAAAATATTGTATCAAACCATATTATGTTCATGAAAATGTATGTTGAAAAAAAATGCAGAAACCAATAAATCAAATCAAAATCAAATCAATTATGATACACATATAAATTAAAGTAATAGTAAAGATTATAACACAACTTTGCAACTCGTTGGTTTTATTTGCAAGCTTCTTTCCATTCATATTGTAGACATATCTGTATTTTTAAATGATCTTTCTCGAGTTTTACTGAATAAATTCTCCATTTATTTTGCTTTTATTCCAATAAATTTTATATAACGATGGGCTAATTCTTTCAATATGTTTCATTCATTTTCTGCGGATCATTCAAAATAGTTATCAAGCAATTAGCTTGACAAATTTCATTTCTTCTGTGGAACCAATTGTAATGTATATACTGTCAAACCTGTCTATTAAGGCCACCAAATTGAAACAGAAAGTTTGCACTATATAGACAGGTGTCCTTTCTGGACAGGTTCTACAGATCAAACATTTTGGCCTTTATAGAGAGGTAGCCACTGACCTGTTTGACTTTACAGTCTTCAGCACTCTATCACTTAAACACTGTAAATGATTATGATCAAAACATGTCATCTACATGCAAATAAATGAGGATGAAAGAAAGTTCTTCCAAGCCTTCTTTTGAATACAGGTACTGCATGTAGAGATGTCGTGGACGAGTGGATATGTCACGAGTTGAGAGGGCCATTGGTCCTGAAAAGCGCTATATAAGAACCAACTGTTATTATTATTATTATGTATAATGTGTAAGGCCTCATTCAGACATGACACGGCAAAACCGCAGTAGTTTTTTAGGATGATGTAAAGTGTCATAAAATTTCTGTATCTTACAAAACAGAACCCAGTGAAGATGCGGAGGACCTTTGTCGCACTCAGTTGTCATTCATTTACTCTTAAAGGTAATGAAAAGTTTTGGGAAATTTTGAAAATTGGATGGATACATTTGGATGCCCCCGTGGAGCACTAGAAATTTTAGCCTTCGAGAAATTAAATAATCCAAATACACCGGTGCTCCCAAATATTTCATGGTAGCTGCGAGCATGAAAATCTCAAATTATGCAGTTCTGATATATAATTTCCCAACAGGTATAGCAAATCGGTCAATTGTAGTCAAGAAACTTGGTTTTAAAGCTAAAGTAATATCAGGCTTGAGAGGTAGGGAGATATAGGCCTACAACATAAAGAGTTTATTATCTATAATTTAATCACTATAGACTCGATTTCAAGCGCGACAATGATCATAGAATATTGTAAAATCGCATATGCTTCTAATATGTTAATTTGAACCAAATTCATGACCACATACCAAAACTTTGTATTACATATAATAAAGCTGCCGCGGTTGACCGCATGATGTCTAAATGAGCATTTGGAGTATCCCCACACTTGAAGTTTATTGTATTGTAAACTATGCCAAATTTAGTAATCAATTTCTTCTACTTAAATATTCAATAAAAAGCTAGATACTAATGATATTAAAGGAATAGAACAAGATAATATAGGAAGATTTATAGTAAGATTTGTATTTGATTCTATCGGCCCCCTGCAGCGGTATGAGAGCACAACCTATTTGAAATATAATACAGAAAGATGAATGAAACCAAATAAGATATAATAATAGAATACATAGACATGATATATACATATTTATATTCCTAAAGCACAATAAACAGTCATGAGCTGAAGACTAGTATACACTATACAACCTATAGTGATAAATTTAAAATATCACATTGTTTGGTTTGTCTACCACTTCGAGTACTACACTTTTATTGACAAAAATATGACTGTGCCTTTCAGCCTAAGGAACCAACCAAAAGAATTGTATTATTACTGTCATGAATCTTCTTAATTGAGTTAGGGTTACTCACAACAAACTGTCGGATCTAAATATAACCACCTTTCTTTCTTGAAAAGCTGAACTACATATCAAAATAGCAGTAAAATCGCATTTGTTTTTACAGAAATAAACATTACTCTTAACAATTTGAAAGCATGAATAGTTAAAGTCAGAACATTATAAGATGAATCGTCCTAGGGATGTTGCAACACCGAAGGAGGGAGAAGAGAGGGAATGATGAGGGAAAGAAAGAGAGAAAGGAGAGTGAGATGATGCGATAACAAAAATGAGAGAGAGAAAGAAAGTTTCAACAAGATCTACATTCAATACAACATAACTGTGTATGTAACTGTGGTTACATTCAAAATTAGATGACCTTCATTTTAATACTTGTACATTGTTAAAAGCTCATTTTCTTCCAGCAAATAGATAAATACATGATCCCTCACACACCCACCTCAGACAAGCCTCCTCTCCCACACACACACACACGCACATTCCTTTGATGACCTCCTTGTACATGTGCTATTCAAACACAAGTTGTAACCCCGAGCCCATTGTTTTCTTCTTGTAAAGTTCATCAAATCTCTCATTCTGGTCCACAGTGAAGTATGTCTTCCAGTCTCCTACCTCACCTAAGTATATAAGAAAATAAGGGATTAAAGTACAGTCATTTTTATGAAATGACTTCCCACTAATTGCAACAGAAAATATTTCATTATTGTAGTATCATAGAAATACACTTAAAGGGGAAGTCCACCCTGATATTGAGTTGGTTTTTCATGTAATTAAAGCAACAAAATGAGAGAAACAAATTTAGTGAAAGTTCGAGCAATGTCCAATTAGAAGTCATATCATCCTAAGTAGTGTAGAAAATATGTTCTATTAAGCATGTTCTGTCCTATGTAAATGGAAATTCTGAATATTCTCTAATTTGCTTGTGTGTTTCAAATTAAAGTAAATTCAAATATTACCAAACCCGTAATGTCACAAGCATGTGGACACTGTTCATAACAGTGCTCCCGCTCTCTGTCTCTACTAGCTATCACCCTATCCTAGTACCCTCTCATACCTAATAAGTGATGAGCACAACAGTCATCATTATTTTGTAATTATTTGTATTACTAGTACTACCTTTATTATTATAAATATTATTATAATAATCAATAATGTTGTTGTTGTTTAAGTACTGTATGAATTCGCAAGACATTTACCCTTTCTGAGGAAAGATTTCTTTTGACTGACAGAATCTTTGAAGATTTCTAACGAGTCTGGATTGGATGCAGGGTTCTCCTTCATAGCTTTGAATGATGAGTGATGGATGATGTCATCTATGACGTCATCATGGAATTCTTTGCCTAGAAATGTGCACACCCTCATTACACAGCTACGGATATCCTTTAATGATGAAAGGAAATTTAAAACTTAATGAATTGTGAGAGATCAAACGTATTTCCCCCAAAACAGACAAATCAGATCAGATGACGATGGGATCTGAAAAAATTCATCATTCATGAGACAGATGTATTTGTACTTCTGAGAAATTTAAACACTTTTAATATTCATCTATGGATATGTTTCGATAATAAAGACAGAATTTGACAATTCATATAACTATTGTGAGAGATATGCCTTCCTAATGTTTTGAGCGGTTTCATTACAATTATGCTTGATGTGGATTTTTGTTGTTAGGATCGAGGATCGACGACTAAAAAAGGAGGAAAGGAGAACAAACTGAGAGGAGGAACAGTCGGAAGAAGAAGTGGTAGAAAAACAAAAAAGAAGAAAACGATAAGAAAGAGAGGAAGATGAAGAGGAAGAACGAAGAGAAGAAGAACATCAATAAAAGAAAATGTAGAAATAGAAAAGAACTTTCTTAAAAGAACAGGAGAGGAGAAAGAAGATGGGAAGAAAGAGAGAAAGTTGATGAGATATTGGAGGATAAACAGAAATTAAAAAAAAAGAGCTAGACGTCATTCTAAAACTAGTGCTTACCATTTTCATTTCTTCATATGTGATGAATAGGACATTGTCTTCATGTCTCATGTTCCACCAGTACAGGACGTTCTCAAACCAGCAGCCTCTTGGAGCTGTAAATAAACAACAACAACAGCAACCATGATAGCAATAATGATAATCAATATGATGATAATATTATATTAATAACAAATAATAATAAGTTTAAAAAGATTATAATAATAACACCAGTAATAATCATTCATTAATTGGCAATCCATCGTATAGCCCTCGGACCAGAACGGGATTGCACAGGCTCTAGGAGCGCGTTCGGACGCACTAAGAACGAGATAAGGAAGAGTTGAAATGTCTCTGAACGGGATGGTCGGGTAACAAACTGGTTAGAACAAGTTGCGAACTAACTAGAATGGATTCGGACAGACGCGGATCCACGAGGGGGGGGGGGGGGGCGACGGGCAAAATGAAAAACAATAAGTGCTCACTACCCCCTCCCCCCCCCCCACCCACTGAGCGAAATATTTGTAGGCGCGATTTTCAAAATACGGGGGGGGGAATGAAAAGAAAAAAAAATTAGTGCTCACTACCCCCTCATTTTTTGTGTGTCCAACCCAGCCCCTCCCCATTTGAAAGTGTTCAAATGATATTATTGACTGTATATGCACTCATAGATTTTGGATAGGGACACAATATCGGGCCAACCGCCCACCCCATCCAAATCAACACAAAAAGAACCCTTTTTCAAATTTTAGGCTCTCAAGGTCCCCCACCAGATAAAAATCTACATGTACTACACCTTTTTTTACGCTCAGAAATCTACCCCCTCCTTTTACTGTATCAGGGTTTTTTTAATATATCGAAGTCTTAATTCCTCTCCGTTATACTCACTATTTCCGTGATAAAAGTCTTCGAAGAATTGGTCCCAGGTGGGGTAACTTGGTAGACTCCACGACGAGAAACTGTGGAAGTGGTAGTAGGAGACGGCAGCATCCTTTGGGTTTCGTGCTACATAAATGATCTGGAAAGGAGAGCACGATAGAGAGAGAGAGAAGGAGCGAGAGAAAGATGGACAGAGAGAGAGAGAGAGAGAGAGAGAGAGAGAGAGGAGTGATCAAGGGCAGAATGAAGAAGAAGGGGGTATCAACAGAGAGGGGGAGGGGTAAAGGGAGATAGAAAAGGGGAGGATGTGAGGGAGAGAGAGAGAGATTGTGCATTTTAGAATAATCACTGCCAAAGTCACGGATGTGCTTCATGAATACATATTATACTGGCTGAGTCGTTGCGAAATTTTTCATCAAATCCTGGACCAAAACAAAATCCTGCGTACGCCCCTGCATGTACTTCCACCTGCGTTCCATAGCGACGGTACATAATATAACTTGCATGAGCACTTATCCAGTATTCGTCTCGATGGGTTTTGTAATTTCGGTACAATGACCTTTATCTGCAATTGAAAATATTTTTGTCCAGTTTCTTGTTTTTCTGCATCTATTACAACAAGTTATTTTGGAGTGGATGTGGTTTTGTAATTTCGGTACAAATGAACTTTATCTGCAATTGAAAATATTTTTGCCCAGATTCTTGTTTTTCTGCATCTATTAAAAGCAAGTTATTTTGGGTGGATGTGAATAACCAAAACCCGGCCTAAAAACCCTCCATCCGGAAGGCGGAGGGCGATGACTTGTCCAAATAAAGAAACATTCGGGTATGCATTTTTCTTCATCTGCATGGGCAGCGTTTCACGATACCGTCATAAGTACAAGTTCACCGACGTCACAGTGAAACACGTGTTAAATTATTTTGATACTCGCATTTTGATGGGCGAACTTGTTCTTAGGGCGGTTTTATGAAACGCTGCCCAGGGTGTACGTAGCCAACAACACTAGGATTACCTTTGGTTTTTTGTCAACTAGTTGTGTTGGGCAGAAGCGTGAGGGCAGGTGGGTCTTGAGAAATCTTGGTGACGCCATCTTGGCTGCGATTTCGTAGATTCCCTGAAGAAGAATAAATGCCGGAGACTATATCTTCAAAAGTGAAAACGATAAAAAGAGGAGCAGGAGGAGGATAACGTTGATGATGATCAATGATGATGATGGTAGGAATATGATGAGGATCTGGACCATGAAAACTATGAACTTTACGACAAAAACAAATGATCACGATGACATTTAGGATGTTCTAAAATATGAAGATGAAAATGACGTCGATGATTACGATGGTGGTGGTGATTGAATAATTTTGTTTGTGACCAGGATGACAAGTAGTGATCCCTTTCATTCTCCCGGCCGACCCCCCACTGATCCTAATAATGTTGACGATCTAATGAAGAAGAGGATGAAGATTGAAAATGGAGAACTGATAAAATAAAGGATGGTGAAGATAATGATTAGATGATGATGATGATGATGATGATGATGATGGTGATGATGATGATGATGATGATGATGGTGATGATGATGATGATGATGATGGTGATGATGATGATGATGATGATGATGTTGATATGATGATGATGTTGATCAAGGTGATGGTGACGATTCTGCCTGTTGGTGATGATGATTTCTGATAATAATGATGATGATGATTTATAATCATCATTACGACGATGGTGATGAAAATGAGGAAGAGGAGGAGAAAGGGGAGGAGGAGGAGGGGTGTGATGATGAATTTATAATGATGATGATGATGATAGTATTATGCATTGGGACGACGACAACGACGATGATGATCAAATGAAGTTAATGACGACCTTACTCTTTCTATATCCGCCGTTTGCGACATTTCAAGGAATTGAGCCCTCTGAAACACATGTTTCTCATTGACCGTCGTGACGTCACCGTTCGCCATGATCAGACTCACAATATGTTGCATCCATGTCGTGCCTATAGCCAATAAATGATTACGGCAAACAATTAAAATTATGTTAGATCATTCATTTATATTTGTTTTAGAGAGCACACAAATACACAAATTAGGGCATATAATGGTTTATCTTCTTGTTAATACTTTTGTAAAATATTGTACAATTCTGCCCCTGGGCTGCAATGCATACCTTTCTATAGATATGAATAATTTTATTTTATTTTTTATTTTCCTGGTCGAAAAATGTAGGTTGTAAAAAGAATTACTGGAATTGTAATATATATTATTGAAACTGTTTTATGTCTCCGAATTAGTATATACATATTTCTTTGTTATTTCTTTTTCTTTTTCTTTTGACATTTGCACTCAGATATTTTGTTTACACAATGATTTTGAATTCGGTTATACCTCAGTCAAACCGCCAAACCGACTTCAGACAGATTACTGGCCATTGACGTAATGTAAAATTTTCGTTCGGTCTGTCGTTGGTCTTGGAGGTGTTTCGCAAAGACTAAGATCAACTTTAAGTTGGACTTAACTATGGCAGGCCATTCATGTTACTGGTTGCTATCACCATTATGATCTTTAGATCATATTTTTTCCTTCAATAAATTATCAAAAAATGTAAGTTCTGTAGATTTATGACCATGATTTGTACGTCCCTTGAGAGACCAATGGCAGGAAATGGTGAGAGCAAACAGTGGCACGAACAGCCTGCCATATAGTTAAAGGGAACCAAAACCTTCATAGTAAGTTACTTTCATTGTAAAGTTTAAACGATTTGAATAAAATCAGTGAAAATTTGAACAAAATCGGACAAGGAATAAGGAAGTTAGAGCTTTTGAAATGACTAGTCGCTAGAGGGCGATATTCAATTTGATGACATCATCTGTGGACAACTCTCCATGCCTTTTGTACATCAAATTTCACAATTCTTTCGTTTTCTTCGTATTTATTTGTGTTCTTGATCCGACTTCATAACATGTGAAGTAGAATATCATTTTGCATTCTATATCTTGCTTTCAGGGGCGTAGATTATCTCAATCACAAGAAAGAAGGGAAAAAACCCTGATTTTATTCAAATATCTTAAACTTTACAATAAAAGTAACTTAGTATGAAGGTTTTGGTCCCCTTTAAGTCCAACTGTAAGTCGATCTTAGCATGGATCTTGTGAAACACTCCCCTGGTGTCGATCTTGTCGATGTGACTAAAGTATCATTCTTTGATAAAACAATTAGGAATAATCGTATTTGTTTGGATTAAAGGTACTATGTCCCATTTGCGGGCCAAAAAAATGAAAAAGTTAAATTCCAACTGCATTTGAAAGATAATACTAATTTAGAACTTCCCTAAAAAAAGGTGGGGCTTGAAAATGTCTTCGAGTGGGAAAATAACGACTATTAGTTGTAAAATCGACTTTAGGGCTATAGAGCTCAAAAGTATTAGTCTTGATTTTCAGATAATTGTACCGAATGGTCATCCGTTTTATGCTGCGCAAAGATTCAATCAGTTTAATCTTGGCCATCACAAGAAGTGGGTTATTGATGTATACAAATGCTCATGTACCCTTTACAACTCTTTTCATGTATGTTATTACCAAAGAAGAAAAAACCAGTCAGTCACTCAATAGTGTCTGACAGTGAAGTCTAGCAAGTAAACGGGTTTCCTTGCATAATTTGGATATGAGGACACTACTAACGTTTAAATTTCACAGATAGGACATACATAACATACTCATAATTCCTGCAAAGTTCTACAGCATTTGAGGTTGGCTGCAAAAGGGACATAGTACCTTTAAATCAATAAATTATGAACTGGATGAGACTGAATCATTGGCTTAGATCCCCCCCCCCCCCCCCTCCTCGACGCCAGGGATCTCATACGCCACTTTGATTTCATTACCTGACTTCGGATATGTAATGAGGAATACGTCGTCGGGTCGAACTTCGAAATGGTGTTTGATGTCGAGCAGGTATCTCGCTGGCGATGACTTTGGCATGATCATGCCGTCTATATTGTAACATATATCTTTGACGACGTCCGAGAGATTGCCTTTATCTGTAAACGGAATTGTTGTTTTAAATAAAGAGGGTCAGAAAGTATCGCCCAAAATATAACATCAGTATTTATCACTTGACCGTGTTACATTAATTTTGCTTTTATTTTTTTTTTCTCACCTTCTACAGGGTTCTTTACTTTCAAAACAAATTTCATCATATACAGTATATCCATACATTATGTACAAATAATGGCTTAATACAGATAATAATCATCACTACCAAAAAAATTGTGGCAGATTAAAACAAACATTTATGACAAATTTAGTATTTTTAATATATAAGAAAATACCCAACAAAAAATACATGATCATGTTCATGTTGGCATATTTCCAATGCTATCAGATTATTTTTTAAAGTGAAATTATTTCTTTTTCGATTTATTTTCTCTGAGATTTGGTATATATATTTTTCCATTTCGTAATAACGTTTTATAGCTGATAAAATTATATCAAATGAAGATAGTTGATTTCTTAATTTGGCTGAAAATATTTCTTGTCTTACAACCATCAGAACACAGTTGAGTGCATTATTATTGCTACCGCAAAATCCAAACAATTTATTCTTATTTGTAAGTATGATCCTTTCCCCCGTACTCAGTAGTTACGAAATATCCATAACTCAAATTTCGACCATACTTCATCAGAATAGTTACAAAAGCAAAACACATGTAAATGTATGATAGTTTCATCTTTGCTACTACAAAAAGTGCACTCCTTGTCAGCCACTGCACCAAATCTTAACAAAGTATCCTTCATTATATTCTATTCAAAATCTTGATTTGTAACCACTGTTTGTTGGGTCTTTTTGTATGGGTTTATTGAGTAGTATGTATGACTGATGTATTTCCAATGGATACCCTGTAATCTATTTCGATAGATATATGTTTATAAATTTGTTTCTGTATGTACTTGTACATTGAAAATAATCCCAATTTGGGGATTCCATATTGATAAATACATTTTATTTTTTAATTTGAATACCAGTCAGGGATTATGTAATGCGTGCCCTGACCCTATGGCTGCACCAAGGTAGCAGGTTCATAATACAATGATCTAGGCTGGGGGGGGGGGGGGTATTAAGGAATAACAAAAGTACGCAGGATTTTTTCGAAGGGGGGGGGGTTAAAATTTGAAAATCGCGCCGAAAATTTTGCAACGACGCAGCCAGCCGCTGAATAAGCTGCGTACGCGCCTGGTGGTGATATCCCCTTCCCCTTCGACAGAAGGATCAGCAACCTCCTCCCGGAGACTGAGCGAGTTTTTGGCGGTGGGTGAAATTGTATATTTCCCTGAATAGAAAGACGATCTCAACAAAACAAAGGCAAATTGTATCAAATGAAACTGACATATTACATTGCAGTCGACAAAAGTAATATCGCTATTATCACAAGCAAAACTGAACACAATACAAGCATCATAAAACCAAAACCTCGAGAGAAAAAAAACTACCTGTGATACCTTTCACCACTTGACTATAATGCATCTTAGCGCGTGATACGAAAAGGGGCTACGTTTAAACGCGTTTTAATCTAAGATACAATTATTCAAATGTAAATAAGTAGCTTAAATACCTTCAGTGTCCATGTTGGTCTATTTAGAGACTGCGTTAAGCAATGGTCACAGGAGAAATCTGTATGGTGCAAGGAAAATTAGTAAAAATATCATTTAACAAACATCGCCATATGCACGATCCCGGTGGGGTCACTCCCATGCAAAGAGTGACACGTATGACCGTTACCACCAATGCATATAACCCCCATTTGCGGTCAATTTCAAGGACATTTTGTGAAATTTAACCCCCTTTTTACGTCAAAACAAGGACAAAATCGTACTTTGGAATACCCCTATTTATAAGATTGTAAGGACACTTTCGCAAATTTACCCCTATTTCACCATATTTCAAGGACAAGATTCGGCTCCGAGAATTTTTCTTCCTGGTTTTCTCTTTTCCCTTCCCGGTTTTCTCTTTTCCCTTTTCCTGACCCCTATTTATCAATTTCGGGGACACCTGTGCACCCCTATTTTCTTTATTTCGAGGAATATTTTGTCCGCGGACATTGCTTGAAATTGACCCCTTTTTCCGCGATTTTGGTAACGGTCATGCGGTCCGGAAGTCACATTGAGTGATCCCACCGGGTGCACGATTTCATATTACTACGCAAATAGTAAAACCATATAATAATAATATATACTACTGAAACCATTTCCGATTTTAAATTCAAGCATAATTATTCATATTCTTCCTCCTCTATTCTGGATCTACAGATCAAAGGGAGTATGTCCCTGATGAATTATCGGGGCAGGGGGGGGGGGCAAATAGGGCGTCTGTCCCGGGCGGAACCTAAAGGGGTGGGCGCAAACAAGTGAAAGAAAGGGAGAAAATCTTAAAATGCGAATTCTTGTTCCCTTTTCTGTGTGATTGGAAGATTTTCGGAATTCACCCGCATGCCAGTTCCCTATTTTTGCGAAAAATACCCACTACGAGCATTCCAATTCAATTCATTTCAATAAACATAAATTTCCTTTACGGCAAAATCAAAATGGGCATATCATGAAATATATCAATATCAAAACAACATTTAAAGCGTATTTCTACAGTGCGTTAAAACGTTATTTTTTAGGTGCATCAAATTCTTAAAAGCCCCAACTGTTGGAGAGGGAAACCCCACTCTTACATCACCCCCCCCCCCGCACCTGGCAGCCATTCTCAGCCATCATCTCATCCGCAACCCCATTCCCTCAATCTAAACAACAAATCAACGACAGTTTATTAAGCACAAGTGAAAGAAATTATATCCTATACAAATAAACTCAATTATAAATTTTCCCGGCTGATTTTAATCGTTTTGTCACCCACATTAATTAAGCGTGCATTAAAATTCTGTTGTTGGTTGGTTGGTTGTTATTTTTTACCTGACTGCTAAGAAAGCATAAATGCTTGTAAGTAAGCAACCAGACGGTCGACGGCTTTAGGTCCTCTCCGAGGGACCTGGTAATAATAAGGATTAATGCCTTACCAAAGGGCACCAGCGCATCGACTTGGTTTCGAACCCGGGTAACCGGATTACGAGACCACTGCTTTACCGACTGAGCTATCGCACCTCCTCAAATTCACGCAAACGTCGTTGTTCTACGGATTTTTCCTTACAAATTAATATCCGAGAATTCACTACACGAATGTTCATTCAACTTGCAAATTCAGGTACATTAATTTCGTTTACATTCGTACATGCAATGTTTCCGGCATTTTTTTATTATTTTTTTTAATTGTTCTTTATAAATAGTTCACAACAAATCTTTAAGAACTTTATTTGTCGTGTATTATAATATTTGAAAGGTGTTGTAACGATTCACGCTCTATTTGCTTATGTTTCATCGCCTTTATGTGTTCGTTCTTTAAACTGTATATTAGTTGCAACTTGTCTTCGATAAAACATTTTTATAATCTTTTTCACGTGAAGTCAATTCAAATGGATTGTAAAATTGAAAATGATTTGTTATATCATATTCTTGTTCATGTTATGTTAACTCCAATGAATTGTGAAATCGTGAACATGCATGCATAAATAAATGAATAAATACATAAATAAGTGAATATTACTCACCTTTATTCTTTCAGCAGTAAACTAGCTTCTAGCATTCGTTGTTATCTTCTAGGTACTTGTAAAAAGTAGTGGTGACATCAGAATATTATGCACCTCTATTCTTTCAGCGGTATAAACCTGCCTTTTATATACGTTGTTATCTTACAGTCACTAATGGTATAAAGTAGTGATAATAAATCAGGAGGAAAGTCGCGGGTACAATTAAAACTATAAAACAATGCGGATTGTGGTGCGTCACATGACAATGAATTATAATTATGCTGTCCCAGATCAATTTCAAGGTCTTTTAAGATAGGAGTACACAGGCGTCATGTTAAGGTGTGATACAGAGAGAGGGGCGAGAGAAAGATACAGAAATACAGAGAGAGGGGGCGAGAGAAAGAGACAGAAATAGATAGGAGTGGGGAATAAGAGAAAGAGAAGAAAAAGGGGCCAGTTATGCTACAGAGAGAGGGGGCGAGAGAAAGAGACAGAAATAGAGAGGAGTGGGGAATGAGAGAAAGAGAAGAATAAGGGCCAATTATGCTGGTATACAATTAACACGATCGTAAATAACTGAAATCAACCTTAAAGCAGGGCTCCCTGCATTAAAACATATTTCTTGATAATAAGAATTCAATTCTTGATATCAAGAAATAATTTTACGTTGTAAAGCAATGGTAATTCTTGATATCAAGAATTTAATTCTTTATATCAAGAAATATGTTTTAATGAAAAAACGGCTTGCCATAAGCTCGCGCCATCTCGCCACAACTCGAGGCTCCAACTCGGCTAAGTGGGAGCCCTGCTTGACATTTCCAATATAGCCTTGTCCATCACCTCTGTAATGACATAATATATTACGTAATCCAAACACGTTTAACTTAGGGGATGCAAGATAAGGAAAGAGCCCTTGAGTTGATTTTTTTAATAATTTCATTGCGATTATGGTTTCCTGGTACCAGCTTTAGAGGGCAAGTCCACTCCAAAAATAACTTACTTTTAATAGAAGCAGAAAAATCAGACAAACCAATCAACAACAAAAAGTTTTAGCAAAATCGGATAACTAATAAGAAATTTTGAATTTTTAATGACATGAAAACTTTGAAAATCACAAGACAAATCGGCAACTCTCTCATGAGTCTGTGACGTCATTGCCTCACTATCCACTAAGTGTTTTCTTTAGATTGATAATATAAATTACCTGTTTTTCCCCTATAGTGGGGGCTGTTAAGGATATTTTGGTGCAGATTGTTCTAAAAGCACCAAATTTAGCCTAGAGGTAGCTTATACCATACTATTAAGATTTCTGCCGGACGCCAAGAAGGGCGCCTTCTGGGACCGCCATATTGGGCAACTGCAAAATGGCCGCCATCTGATCAGTTACAGGTCAAGTGTAGTTACGAAAGCAAATGGACATGTACGATAAATGTTTATATAGTTATACGATAAATGTTTATATAGTTATGGGGTTTTCGGGGTCAGAGAATCTGATTATGATGTTCTTGTATCAATTTCAGGTTTTCTTGGGGCTGTCATGCTGGTCATATTGGCCAAATCTAAAATGACCGCCATCAGAGTTACAGGTCAAGTGTAGTTCCAAAAGGAAAAGGGCTAGTATGATGAAAGTTTATATATTAAGGGGGTTTTCGGGTCGGAGAATCTGATTATGATGTTCTTGTATCAATTTCAGGTCTCCTTGGGGCTGCCATGCTGGTCATAGTGGCCATATCCAAAATGACCGCCATCAGAGTTACATGTTAAGAGTAGTTCCAAAAGGAAAAGGGCTAGTATGATGAAAGTTTATATATTAAGGGGGTTTTCGGGTCGGAGAATCTGATTATGATATTCTTGTATCAATTTCAGGTCTCCTTGGGGCTGCCATACTGGTCATATTGGCCAAATCTAAAATGGCCGCCATCCGAGTTAAAGGTCAAGTGTCGTTCCAAAAGGAAAAGGGCTAGTATGATGAAAGTTTATATCTTAATGGGGTTTTCGGGGTCAGAGAATCTCATTATGATGTTCTTGTATCAATTTCAGGTCTCCTTGGGGATGTTATGCTGGTCATATTGGCCAAATCTAAAATGGCCGCCATCCGAGTTAAAGGTCAAGTGTAGTTACAAAAAGAAAAGGGCTAATATGATAAAAGTTGATAAATTCATGGAGTTTCCGGGGTCGGATAATCCGATTATGATGTTCCTTTATCGATTTTATGTCACCATCCTGTCCTAAGGCTACAATGAAGTCCATTTCCTGGTTGAAGAAGAAGAGCCAAATTCACATGAGTGAGTTAATGACGACACCGTATTTCGAGAGTCGTGAGAACAGTATCTAGTTGGAGGTGTTGAATATGTTCCTCTTATGTCCTGTCTCACTTGCGATCAGATTCTGTGACCCCGAAAACCCCATAGATATATAAACTTTTAGCATACTAGCCCATTTCCTTTCGTAACTACACTTGACCTGTAACTCAGATGGCGGCCATTTTGGCGTCCGGCAGAAATCTTAATAGTATGGTATAAGCTACCTCTGGGCCAAATTTGGTGCTTTTAGAAGAATCTGCACCAAACAACCCCTATTTAGCCCTAACAGCCCCTACTACTAAGAATCTTATTTCTTCACACCAGCATCCAAATGACACTGTCGCTCATAAAGGTGGAATATTTTTTTTTTACCCCAATTTATGGAATTATTTTAAAAATAATTTTAAAATAATAGATCTAGATAATAGTATATATTCTCAGATTTTATTTAAAAAATCCTCTGGACGGCCATGCATTATGGCTCAAGGTCACGGGCACACAGAAGATTTTTTTATGTTGGGAACCGGGGTAAAAGCAATAAATTATTGCAATTTTTTTGCATTTTCTGTTTTTTATTTTTATTAATGGAAACTGCCCCCTACCCTAGCCCCCGCTGCGTACAGTCATGGTTCAGTGACAAAGCAATGGCCTCGTAACTGTGAGGCCCCAGGATCAAAACCGTGTCGATGTGCTTTATTAATGCCCTTTTGTGGGGCATTAATCCATATTACTGTCATTTATAACTTGAGGGTGTAAGTCCCCTAGTTGATAAGCATGGTAGCATACACATGCTTCAGCAGTCTCGCAAAACACACATTGGCAAATTATTATTCCATAAAATCTGAGAATGTATACTATCATCTAGATCTATTATTTTAAAATTATTTTTAAAATAATTCCATAAATTGGGGTAAAACTAAAAAATTCCAACTTTATGAGCGACAGTGTAGATTGATATCAATATGTTTTTGTCTGTGAAATGCACTAATATAGAGTAATTTTGTTCAGTTAAATCGTGAAAAAATTGAATTTCGATAAAATATTTATATACGAATCTATAATTATGTGTATACAATATTTTTGAAAATAGTATCAATTCTTCAACGTTCATAAAAGATTTGGTGAAACGTCATGCACGCAAAATGATACAAGTCATATAACCTGGTCAAAAGCATGGGGAAATCAAGGTTTTGGGATAAAAAGGGAATTTAATGGGGTTAAAATATACAACGCAAGTGATAAATAGTGAGTACATGACGTCACAAACTGATAACCAAATTGGCAATTTGTGTAGTGATTCTCATTGTTTCATGATAGCTTTACATACTTTATCAAAAATTCATAACTTTCTTAGGAGTTATCTGATTTTGCTCAACCTTTTTTGATTGGTTTGTCAGATTTTTCTGGTTCTATTGAAAGTAAGTCATTTTTGGAGTGGATAATGCTTACTTAACAGATTTATAGACTATTCATTCAGTTCATTTATTTTTCCTCTTTCAATTTTTCATATTTACAATGATAGTAAGTTTTGCATATTCACATTATATTAATGTACATATAGATCAATTTGCACAATGCAATACATCAACAAAACATGAAATTGACAGGGAAGAAGTGCCGACTAAAAAGCGGAGCTTGTAGGGTGTATGCCGGCCGCCCTGTAAAAGTTATTATTATGAATAATTATGTTATGATAAAAAAGAAAATAACAATACGTGATTCAGTAATTCAAAAATCATTTCTAAACGAAAAGTAATTAAACACAAGCATCAAAGCTGCATAAAGTCACACTAAAAATTATATTTGATTGGGGTATGCAATAGCCTAGTCACTATTCAGAAGAAAGCTTTTAAGTCTCCTTTTGAAAAAAAATTGAAGAGGCTTTATGTATTTCTCAATGGATTTGTAGAAGGTTATTTTTCCTTTAATAGTATATTTTGGTTTTAGGGATAATGGACGCTTGTTCCTTTATCAAATTGGGTTATGGATATTATAATTTGAAATACTGGCGAAGTTGAATTCGATTAGTTTTGTGGAAATATGCAGTGACCTGCATGGGCGGGTCGGTGAATACAGTCTGCAATGGGTTAAGACAGTGTCAGCGCTATGTCATAAGATATTTGATTATGAGGGATTTTTTTTTTGAAGTATCTCAAGTTCAGACATGGGACGGCTTTGTCTAATTATTGTTTGGAGTTAAACAAAACTGGGTAGCGTTTCACGAAACCTAAAAAGTATTAGTTCACCGACATTACATTGACATGTGTTGTAAGTATCACGCGTTTCAATGGGATGTGAACTTGTACTTTTGGCCGTTTGAACGATGCCCAGTGATAGAGGGTCAGTGGTGTGCCATTGTATGTGTTTATGTTGTTTATGCAAGGGTAATCAGGAGTGGACCAAGGTTACTTTTAGCAAACGGCTAATAACCTGTAGGCTTAAAGCTCAAAGATGTTAATAATATTCCGTTTTTATATAGTGCCTAATCCATCAACGATGTCCCTAATTATAAGGGCTTTAAATTTACAGATATATTATTATCCCGGTCATCGGATACAGCTAGGCTTGCCTGCCCACACACAATCAATGTATGCACATTCTTCACTTCCTGGGGAGCATTCCAGCCAGGCGTCATTTTACAGACGCTCACAATGCTGAGCAAACTACATTAACTTTCGCATCCTACTAGGTACCCTTTTAACACATGGGTGGAGAGTGGCAAATGTACGTCTTGTCAAAGGACGCTAGTGTTGAGCTGGGATTTGAACCCCGTACCTTGTGATCTGCAATCGGCAGACTAATCCACTAGATCAGTTATTACCAGTATCATTGTTTCACTACTGTCAACTTCATATTTTTGATAATACGTGATACTACATTGTTTTGAGGCACATGCATATATACATACATTGTACAATTTTTTGTTTGTATAGCGCAAAGGCCAATAAAGAATTGTTCAGTGCACTTTACATGACAAAGTAATGCATAGAATTACAACAACATAATAGAAAAAGAAATATAGCTTAAACATTTAGTTATTGAAGAGGCGTATCTTTTAGTTGTTCTCAATAAATTTACTCGAAGTTGAAGTGCGGACAAAGAAGTGAGGGTGTTTTCTATTAATTTTTTTTGTGTGCAGGGTTTCCGTGCTTTTTTGTACCGAAAAAAGGGCCACCTGACACTATTTGTGACTCTGAAATGATTTTTCTATACCCCGAATTAGAACTTCTCTTTTCTCATCCAAAATACGAACAGTTGATTCTTTTCAAATTCCAACGTGGAGCGTAGAGTCACGTTGATGCATGACTGAATCATCATAAACGGCTTAGAAATTATACAGCAAAGAATTTCCAAATACATAATTATTGAGGCATGTGCGTCGATCCTGACAATGCCATTACTCTCTATTCACACTAGTTGTTAGAAATACTCCTACAACACAATTTTAATAATAACAGATCTTATCATAATGTCGTGTTTGTACATACGGTAGTCACTGTGGGTTTGCATATTTGCGAATAATTATGGTATAAAAGCATTGAAGAAAAACCCCGACATTTTGGAAACACAAATAGACTATTTTGTGTCAACTCTTTGTTCAAACATTATCACTGATCGTGTGCTGACAAATTTTCCAGGAGGTAGCAAGGTGCCATGTTTATTGTGTCAGACTTGCGTGGATTTCCAACTTTGCTCTAGCTCTCTCAAAAGCTACCTGGATCAAATAGATGTCAAAGGAAAGAGCGCATTATACGTACTGCTTGTTATGTATAAAGGCCTATGCACTGTTGCATCGAAAGAGAAACTTGATTAAGGATTGACATAGAGTTGTGAGGAACAGCCAATCGGGAATCAAGGAGCGATTTTCTCACCGGAGGTGATAAGGAAAGAATTCTAATTAGTTATTAATCATTCTGACAAGTTAAAAGAAAGGGGGAAAGAAGAAGAAGAAAAGGAGGAGGAGGAGAAAGAAGAAAGCGAAGAAAAATAACAACATCAAGAACAACGACAACAACAACAATAACTGAGAAAGGTCCTCTCTTTTTAAGTACCGTTTGCACCATCACCGGTTCCCATGTCCTTGGAAGCGATTAATTACGAAATGGACGTCGAAAGCTTGAATGTGCCCGCTGATGAGCAAAATGATACGGTGAACGAAGGGCCACGTATCGACAAAGAGGAAATCGAGCACGACGTAGATGATCATTATCATACTGATGGTCAAGATGCCAGTCGTGTCAGAAAGCATGATGGCGTCGATGACGATGTCAGCGCTACCAGCACTGATACAGCCGACGACGAGGTTGAAGAGGATGATGATGACATGGCAGAAGCATCATCACAAGGCTACGATACGGATGATGACCTCGATCGTCACTTCTTCATCGACCACCATAAGGTCAAAGATGAAATGGACAACGCGCGTGGTCGTCGCGAAGACAATCGAATAGACCACCTTGAAAGAGCGGTGGTGCTCGAGCTCGAACCTTTGCGTCAATCAGCAAATGAAAGACGATGTCAAGACAGAGAGAATTACAAGACAATAAATGATGCTCATGGTGACGGTAAGCCTGATGATGACGAAGATGACCGAGATGGCGATGGTGATCCCACTAAAGGTAAGATTCCAGTGGCCCGACATTTCCCGCCGGCAACAATTGCTCCGGGCTTTAGTTCTTCAAAGATAGGGTTGGGTTTGAATTTAGAAATTTGGTTAGTGTAGATTAGCGTTTTTCAAACGAGGTGCCGCAAGACATCTTTAGGGGTGCCGTGAAAGAAATTCAGTTGTTTTACATTTTTTAATAATGTCAATTTAAACAAATATATATATATATCAGAATCCTTTATGTTTTTTCATTAGGAATTTTTCTTTTTAAAGATTTGTTTTCCTCGCTAGGTTCGCTCGCTCGCAACAATAAAGAAGAAAATGATTTAAGTGCAGCGAAGTGCCTGGATGCCTCCATTTGGGCAACGAGGTGCCTGAATATCCTTATATTCGTGTATCGAGGTGATCGAATATGATTTATGAGTTTAATGTATTCGCGCGTTCAGCAACAAAGTGTCCGCATACATAAGTTTGTAGTAGTTTGTTTTGATACAAATAACAATTCCCCATATCATAATTGGCTCTTTGTCTTTGCTCGCTCGCTTCGTTCGGGTCGCTCGCAAAAAACAAATGTACCCGTACGTATGTACATGTACAATCTGAAAAACAGATATACAGAGCAGATGCAAAATAATTATCCGTCGAATCAAGGGTACAATAAAAGACCAAGGGCGGTAACGTCAATATATTTTTGTAGTAAAAGTAGAAAGTGTGCAAACGCAAGAGGAAAGGATATTTAAACATTTTGTTGATATGAATATGCAAGACAGATAAATTAAAAAAGATGACATTAAAACATAGAACGATATAACAACATTTTTGTTAAAGATATAAGGACCAGACGAACCCTGAAGTGTGGAAATAACATAGGTCAAAAGTTGTCAAAATATTACAAAATATTACAAATGTTGAGTAACTCATTAATGCGACATTATACACTTTTTCAAGAATTTTTGAAACTGAAATTAACAGTGATATTGGACGATAGTTACCCAACGCATCATCTTTCCTTTTTTTAAATAATAGTATTGCCTTTATAATGTTCATTTATCAGACAATAGCATGTTTAATATTTTTTTTAAAGAAAACACCCGAAACTTTTTGACCAGTAAGTTGCTAACAATATTTACAAGTTTCCTTTCATGACCCAGTGGATCGGGAGTTTCGATTTTGTTTAAATGAATGAAAAGATTTATTCGTAGTAGGGATATAATTAGTCAAATTTGGGCCAAAATTGACAAAAAGAGTGAATTTAATGCTTTAGCGATACCCGAGGGTTCTTTTATTTCTTTTCCCTCATAAGTATAATTTTGTGAATATCTTCTTTTTCCTCTCCCTTTTCCTCCTTTTTGAGAACATTATTGATAACTTTACTTGTGGACTTGATGTCCTTTTTGTGAATTAAAACGAGGACAACAACAACATAATTCCCGTGTTACCTTTCTTAGCACAAATGTTAGAACATTGCGATAATTAGTATGTTTTGTTTTATCTTTGTATGTACTACTGGAATTATACATCGATTTAGGAAAAAGGACGATTTAAGTTATGGCCGTGTGAAGGAAGAAGACCGCGGAATTGTTTTATTGTTAGATCTAGATGATGTTTGCAGTGAAAATAAAATTCGAATAAAGGTAGCATCATATCAACAAAGTTATTTGACCTTGTCAAATATCGTTCTTCGGGAGGCGAATGAACGCTGACTCCGCGTAAAGAGATACAATTCAGCGCCCCTCCGGCCCCAAACAGTAAATAGCCAGTATAATACAATATGATATAGTCCAGTAGCCATAAAACAGCGATTTACTATAAACATTTCATTGTGCAGAAATTGTGCAATCAGGTACGTTGGGATCTTTAAATTCATTACCTGGAGATAAGCAGTTGATTATTATTACTATCATACAACAGTATATTGTTAACGATTAATATAAAAGTGACAATGCAGTTAAAATAACGTCCGCCTGGAGCCTAAAAGGCTTAATCTGTGTAAAAAGATACGTGTAGTCAGCGCCACGGGCAGATCCAGGTGCTCACTACTGCCCCCCCCCCCCCCCCCCGTTGAGCAAAATATAAAAAAATAGTGCTCACTACCCCCCGGGGGTAATTGTCCTAGGGGGTGGTTGTCTAGGGGTTAGTTGTCCGGGGGTAGTTGTCCTAGGGGGTAGTTGTTCTATGGGGTAGTTGTCTGGGGTAGTTGTCCCGGGGGTAGGTGTTCTAGATATCTAGATTGACCTTTCCATGCTTCATGTAGTACACAGATACTAGATCGTATAGGCTTACATCGGTCGGTTTAGGAAGAGTTCTTGACGTACATGATATAAGAACAAAGTTTGAAAATGTCACCACCGTGTTTTTATACTTTTCTTCTTCAGTATTTTTTGCATTTACTTTCTTCTCGACACGATGGCCCTGGTTCATGTGGTTGGGGTACAAATCTACCCCTATTCTCCTGGCCAATTAAAGTGACTCGGTAACATTTTGAAGGTTGATGAAAAAACTGCTCAATTTCTGTATGAAATGTTACTTATTATATTCCTTCTACTGTGCTAACCCTGTAACAGGCAACGAATTCTGAGAAAATTCTCAAACGACAAAGATATTTATGGTTTTCTTTGAAGGCGTACGCAACACCCTCTAACAGTGATTTAACAGTAAATTCTCCAAACCATTTTTGAATTTTCCCAATCGTTTTTCCTTGAAAATACACTGTAAGACATAAGACAGGCTTTTAAAAATCTTTCAACACTTAAATGGTATATAGAGCCACTTCATTGCTTTGTGAAGATTTAAATTCACCTAAAATGTAATTAAATTGTAATAATATAGTCGGGAGAGTTAAGGAATCGATCAGATCATTTCCCCCAATTTGTATCATGAATAATGGTCTGTTTTCTCTCAAACTTTCAGATTTTCTTTAATTGTACATCTAGCATTGAAGTCACTACCTTGGCACCATTTTCTCTCATCTGAACAATTTTACCAAATCCCTTTAAGGACAAGTTAGTCTTTTTTGTTTCGCCCTGCTCCTCTTCTGTACCGAAAATACTTTCACAATTGCTTCTTGAATATTGCTCCAGGCGTTTGATAGATTTGTTGAGAGAGGTGATGTTGTTGCATTTTTTCAAGTGACTAGATTTGACTATCTTTGGCATCATCTCTCCGTAGCCACAACTACAACATTTATAAAAGGCCTACTTTTAACATTTTAAATTGGAAACTCTATCATCACTTATTCTCTTTTCTGTCTATTTGTCTGCTTTTATCGCATTCTTCTTCTCACAGATCCCTCGGACCAGAAGAAGAATGGAACCCGCATCTTCCTAGCGGTAAAATCAGCATATTTTCTATTGTTTTCAGGTAAATTGTTCTGTTTGTTACCTCTTTAATCAAGTCTGAAATCGCCTTGTAGGAGAAACCTTTCAAATTCTGGATTAAAATTACTGATGCTAATTTCTCTCAAGTACTTAAATCGAATAGACAACACAAGTTACCAAATGTACCTTTGCACGTTAAAAAGTGTGGAGGTGTTGTGGTCTAGTGGATAAATCGTCGGATTGTGGTTCACAGGGTCCGCGGTTTGAGTCCCGCCGCGGCACCAATGTCCTTTGGCAAGACCCTAATCTACACTTGCCACTCTCCACCAAGGTGTTTAATGGGTAGTACAGTAGAAATTAAGAAACTCCTTGTGCTGTGAGCGCCGAAATCAGCAGCCTAGCAGAGCCGGGTAATATTCGGAGTGTCTTAAGTACCTTGCATGGTGTATATGTGCGTTATACGAATATCCAATATTATTATCATTATTATTATTAATAAATGGGTGTGTTCCGGCTATTGCCGTTTTTATGTACTTCATTGAAACAAAAGTTGTTCTGCTCTATTTTTTATTCGACAGGAGACACGGACTAATGCAGAATTGCCTGCCATTCCAAAATGTTTGCAATAGAAGCATTCTCAAAAACTAAATGATATACTGCTGCCATGATCTTTAATTCAGAATTGAATAAGCAATGAATGGATGAAAGTGTGACTAATCTTAATCTAACTACCTATAGATTCGAACAATGAAATAGAAGAACAGTTAAGCAAAGCCATTGAATTTTTAGATCATACAATGCTCGAAATAATGAAAGTACGACTATACGATATCTTTCTGTTGGTTGCTAAAAAACTGAAATCATTGTAGGCCTGCTTCGCTAAAATTAGACTTTTTACGAAATTCTTATATGTATATCCGATTCCTCTGTAGGTCACGTGAGCTTGTTCCCCTTCATCCCCGTGTATTTGTCTTATCTTGGTCTGGATGTTATGGAGATCGGTAAGATAAGGGCTCTGGAACCATTCATCGGCATGGTGGCAACACCGCTGTGCGGAACGGTGGCGGACAGGTTCAGCAGGCACAAGCTGATGCTTCTGGCGTGCCTCTGTGGAACAGCTCTGGTGTACGGGAGCAGCGTCTTCCTACCTTTCCTCTCACCTGCAGGTGGCAGCCACATGAACTCGATACATACCGAACCCAACGTGACCAATTCTACATCTGATATTCGACAGATGGTGTTTGGCGGCTTCTTCCGCCGCCACCCGCATATGGTTGCAGCCATGGATTCCTTTAATATCAGCTACCTATCGTATTCTGACTTGCAGGAGTCCATCGAGGAAAGCTCTTGCAACTTTACGAATACTAAGAGGCGACACGGATCTACTGTGACAGTATATCTGGAGGACATGCATGGTTGTTCATTCACCAAGCTTCCATTAGAGCCATCATCTGTCTTTAAGGAGAAAAGTGGTGGTGTTGCTCCAGAAGTAAGGTGTCTATTTTGCGAAGGTATGATGAGGGTATGTACCTTCCAATATCAAATGACGGAGTGCCAAAACAGATCAATTAACTGTAACGATTCATTCGGTATTTCGACACCCGTATCAATAAATGACACAACACAATTTATAAATGGAGGCATGTCTATAAAGGAGAAAGATCTTCTCGGTGTTTTTGTAATTATGCTAGTGATACTCATCGTCGGTGAAATGTTTGCCTATTCATCTGTTCCTCTGTTGGATGCATCCACGATGACACTCATCGACGAGTACAAAGAAAGAGGACAGACTTTTGAATACGGTCGACAGCGAATGTGGGGAGGTATAGCGCACGGTGTTCTTGCACCTCTGTCAGGTATAGCCGTCGACGCGTATGCTGCGTCTCATCCAAACGCATTCAACAAGTACCTTCCCGCATTTGTTCTCTTTGTGTCCTTCCTGGTACTTTGTGCAGCAACGGCTTCGGTTATTCCCATCCGTGCTAAGCCACGTACCACGGAATCCTTCGCCAAGAACGCTAAAAGTTTCCTGCTGACACCGAAGGTGATCCTTTTCTTCGTCATCATGTTCATCACTGGAATCCTACTAGGATTCATCAACACTTACCTCTTTTTGTTCCTAGCCGAAATAAATGGAGGAGCGACCATTATGGGTTTGACCTTGACAGGTGCATGTGCTGCAGAAGTGCCTTTCATGATGTTCTCGTCTAAACTCATAGATAAGATTGGACACCGAGGTGTCATCGGGATAGCACTCTTCGCCTTCGTCCTGAGGTTCGTCGGCTACTCGCTCCTGCAGAACCCATGGGCAGTCATACCAATTGAACTCCTGCATGGGGTCACCTATGGCTCAATGTGGCCGGCTTGCACCTCCTATATTCATCTTATCTCCCCTCCAGACATGGCGGCAACCATGCAGTCTCTCACGTACAGCATCAGGGGTGGTTTAGGTCAATACAGTTTGGTGTAATTTTTTAGTATATCACGCAGACAAGCCACGTTATGAAAACATCAGTTAACAAACCAATACTGTCTTTTTACAGAAGAATATTATGATAAAGAAACAGTTAAGATACAGTATCCCTCTTCCCCGCTCTCTACGATTACTGTTCAGTGCAAAAATTGCAACAAACAATCCTTTGTTTCCTGTCGGAGATAATCCTATATTCTAACTCTGCAGAATTAGTAACCTACATAACTCCAATAACTAAATGAATATGTTCTTTTTGTTTTCTTGTCTCATTTTGTTACAATTATCATGTGTGGTTCGAGCTTAAAATGCTGGGACAATTATGTAGATGTCTTTGTAGTTTTGTTAATTATGTTGATCTCACTTCAACTGCATACATCCATAGCCGCGATCATAATATCCTCGTTATTTTCCTGTGGTAAATATTCACACCCTACAATATCCCGTGTCTCTATCATAATGATATAATGCCCGAAAACATCCCTGGTTCACGAAACTGTATCTGTTTCTTCAACAGGAAAGGGGATTGGAACCATTATCGGTGGGGTCATCTACCACAACTACGGAGCCAGGAATTTGTTTAGGGGTTCCGCCATTTTGTCTCTCGTTACACTCGTCGTGTACTTCATCATCAGCCTCATCTTCGACAAACGAGAAAAATCTACTGGATATGACAAGTTGTGAACGCTTATCCTACTTTCATACAACACTATTATACCTGTATCTTTCGTTCATTTACAAAAACATATTTTCATTAGATATTGCTCATGACTGCAATCTATAAAATAAATTATATAAACGTATACATATGTACATTCACATAATGCGAAAGGAAATGAGAGAATAATGGTTGCGAAGTTTGAATTTTAGTTCCTCATTGCTGTCATTGTTCAAAACCCACCTGCCCCCCAACAAAGAAATTAATTAGTAACGGTTGAAATTTGCCGAAAAAGAATCTCGATGAAAACACTATTTGAACCTTTGCCAACAAATTCCAAAAAGGAAGACAGTAATGGGAAATTTATAATCAGGCTACGCAATCATTTTCGTTCGCATTGCATTTAGTTCCAGGAGAGTTTCCAAAGCTGTCGTAAACGTTATTTCCTTACATTCGTTTACAAATAAAGCATTCGCTAGAAATTAAGCCCATTATCCAGCTGAGGCATGCTGCTTGTCATTGTCAAAAAAGCCAGGCCTCTCAAAGCAGTCATTTTTATATGTTGATATAGCTGCAGTTGGTTATATGGTTTGCATTGTCTTATAAAAAACATGTAATAGTATGCAAATAACAAATTTAATTAAATTGAATTTGTTGCTTTTCTTGGGTGAATGTTCGCAGTAAAGAAATAGATTTGTCAACTGCTTTATTTTAGTATTTTCAAATGAATGTCTTATAATTCCCCCTATTATATTTATTACCGAATGTTGATTTTACCTTCTAAACTATGAATTTCCTTAAATGAAAAATAAAGACTTGGTGCATGATACATGAACAAGTTCTCCAAATGTACGTCAAATTATCAAGAAAATGGCTGCGCCCATGTCATGCTAAACGACAATACCCCATTCCAATAATATCTTCATTTATACATCTCTTGCATATTTTCGTATGGAATAGTGTAGACCATTAGGCATGAAAAAGTCATCTTTCAGCATACCTACACTCATTCTTTTGGGTGAGGTTTCCTTTGAGTTTGAGGAAGCATCATTAGTTGCTTCACTCTCATGTTTCTTTCTCTCTTTGAAGCAAGCCCTCCTCTCTGAGTAATAATGACCTTACTCCCCCTCTCCTGTTGAAGTGATCTCTTTCTCACTCTTCGCTGTACTTTTCTACCTAAATATTAACACTGGTATGACATAAATATGATCACCAGATTTGCACTGTATCATTGCCCATCTTTTAGAAAGCTTTGATTCAGTAGCTTAGCATTGAAGCATTCTACTATTATATTCAGCGTGTAATTATTTACATGCATGTACTTGACGATTTACACCCAACATCAATAATTGCTTTGTATCATCTTGCTCCTTTTACATGTACTGTGCACTTCATTTTAACTGTAGATATACTACGCATTGTATTTTTGTAACAGCATAAATATCTATGAATTGTTTTGTACCATGTTGCTCTTTTTACAAATATTTTGTTTGCAATTTATTTTTAACTGTAAATATACTACACATTGTTTTTTTTTCTGCAACTGTATAGCATTACGTAGTAATAATAATAATAAATTATATTTCTATAGCGCACTATACAAGGTACGTAGTATATGTACGATACGATTACACCTCATAATTATATGTATTCATACCACATTCCTGCCTTTTTAAAGTAATTTACCATCTCCCATGCTTCTTATTAAACGTTTAGTGCCATTCAACTCTAAATAACAATTTTATGCGGCATTTCAATTGTATATCATATCATATATTTTATTTTTTAAGAAACAATAGTACTATTCAATTCTAAATCACAATTTTATGCGGCATTTCAATTGTATATCCTATCAAATATTTTATTTTTTCAGAAACAATGTTCATGTTTGATAGTGTGTTGGTAAGATTTGACTTTTCCAATTGGAATTAAAACTTCAGATTTATTTATTCATAACTTGTTTTATTCAAATAATGTAATCTTTACATACTATTATATTAACCTTTCTTCTACTAAGGTCTCTGATATGTAAACTATATCATTTCCTGATTCAATCAATGATGTTCAATTTAAGTTATTTTGGTAAAGGTGTAATTTAACTTTGGTGATTTTAACGATTCATTGACAACTTCCTGGGTGATTAATTGCATTCAATTTCATAAGTAAGTATACGTACGGTGTTATTTCTATCATATATATCGAAATATATATTATGGAATGGAGCTCATAATAATGTCTACGGGCAACAAGGATGAATTTCACTTTTGTAAACCCTAACCCACATGTAATTCCTTATTTTACTCTTTATCTTGTACTTATAACTTTTTATGTATAACTTTCCTTTTCTCGGTCAATTAAAATAATATTGGAAAATTTATAATGACCTTCATTACACTTTTTTTCTCCAATTTGGGGGTAATAGCTGTTTTCACAGCAATCAAAGTTAACAGTTCAAGTTGTATTGTTTCGAAAATCAACGTAGGTATATATATTGCCACTTTCATAAAGAAGATGAAATAATGTAAGTATACCTTCGACCTTCGTCATACCATGATTTAATAAATAAAACTGTGTAGTTTACTCGAATCATTGTATTGTTACATATAGTTTGTAAATATCCATGTTGCTCCCGTATACTATCCTGTGTCTCTATCATAATTATATAGTTCGCTCAAACGTCATTGGTTCACGAAACTGTATCTGTTTCATCAACAGGCAAGGCCTAGGGGACGGGAATTCTTCTCGACGGGGTCGTCTACCACAAGCACGGACCCAGGAATTAGTTTAGGGGTTCCGCCATTTTGTCTCTCGTTACACTCGTCATGTACTTCATCATCAGCCTCATCCGGCGACAACCGAGAAAAATCTACTGGATATGACAAGTTCTGAACGCTTGTCCTACTTTCATGCAGTACTATTATACTTGAACCCTGTTTCAATTTATTATTTCAAAAAACATATATTTATTAAAATAGTTCATGACTACAATCTCTAATATATACATAACTATATAACATAATTCATTCTGCGTATCCATGATATTATATAAGATACAGTATATAAACGTATTCATAATCCTCCCTCTCTCTCACATGGTGCAACCGCAAGCCTATATATACAAATTGTATCACAAAACAAAACAAACCAAAATAATGACGAAAAAACAGGACGATATGAAAAAACAAAATCTAATTTTATAGCAAAACAGTCAGAATGATATAAAATTCTGTTTTTAACATAATATACAATGATCTAATGAACGATAATATGTTAACTTGAATTAAAAATAATTAATTGATATCGGGCTGTTTTTTACATTTTCCAGAAAAAACTAGTACTTGGAGTATAAAATATGAAATTAAATAGAATTCCTTCACTTCCATAACATCCACAAAAAGACCTATTTCAAAGTAGCTCTATCATCTAATAACATCGGATGTACAGAGCAACAAGACCAAGCTTTGTAATTATTAGGATCTCTGTCCAGTAGTGCCGTGTTTGTGTCATCGAACTGGATCGACCAAATCAATTGATTCATAATACATATATATATATATATACACTATATATATATATATATATATATATAATATCTTTCCCGTAACATGAGAGTAATTTTAATAGTTTCATACTTTTAATTAAATGTTATGTTAATTGTTATTGTATAATTGTTTTAAATTGGGGCACGCTACAAGAGTCCTATCTCGCACCCCGGGGCAACGTATCTGACACGGCCGTTTGTAGCAACTACTCCAAAGATCAAGATTTAATCTTGATCTAAGGAGACATGAACAAACGATCGGATGTACAGTTTAATATTTATGATAAACCTCCCAATAAGTGGGTAATCCAAGGATTAGTGTTAGATGCTTTCTTCGAAATTGTATCAAAATCAAAATGTACATAAGTCCGATTTTGATATATTTAGTGCTTTAAGATACGTGTTTATGCAAAGTATGCGATGAAGTACTTTAAAAGGAAATAACGAATACGTTTAAATAAACAAGACTTGTCTTAAAAGACTAAGTAGATATCTATATAATATGGACTGGCCTTGAGGGAGGTACCATATAATATTTCCCAAACTAGACTCATATATAAGCCCAGTCAAGGTTTTGACTGAGCGTTTAGCGAAGATTTTATTTATCCACTGCATTTGGAAGTTTTTGTTTTATTTGACTGACACATTCATTTTCATATACCGACAGACCTTCGTAAACTTCATTACATTTTAATCAAAATTTCTTGAGATGTTATATTTACGTCTTTACGTCTAATTGTTGTTCTTCTCCAGTTTCGGGGAATAGCTGGTTTCACAGAAGAAAAACAAATGACAAAATTCCAGTCGAACTTGTGTTTCTTGGCGAAATTTTTATTGCCATTTTCGTAAAGGAGATATAATGTTACCATACTTTTGTCATATCATGATTTGATGAATAAAACTTTGTTGTTAACACGAACTATTATATTATTTCTATAGTTTATTGTTTGAAGTGAGAGAGATCGTTTTCAGCAGGACAAGTTAAGAACTTAAAGATTGAGAAACTTCCCGAATGAAAATATTTTTTTTTATAGATAGTATACTAGCGTCATCTCCATTATTATTACTATAACAAAAAAGATTTTCCTCGGATGGAGCCAAGCTGTGTTCTTTAAAATATTTCTACTGCCCCACATTACTTTCACCTTGCAAACGTTTATAACCCATGTCATATTTAAGCCAGTAAAGATTGAGGGCATTGATGTAAACAACTTAAACCTCCAACCCCATAGTCCCAAATTAAAGTTTCATGGCTTATTTTGTCTAGGTTTCTTCTCCGAATGAATTTAACATGTAAAGATTAAACCCTCAGAAAAGATTGTTTCCAGTCAAGTTTTGAAAGTATAGAGAGAAAGTACATTAATTGTGATAATCTTAAAGATTCTCATTGACTTCGTAATGGAAATGTTTTCCTCTTTTGTCGTTGTAGTTCTCGGTGGAAAGTTAAATTATAAATTTTAAGCACACCCATGTGGAATGTCAAACCAGATAAACTAATATCTGGAGGATGAGCTTTGTAGAAACCCAGACCGTAACAACTTGTATTTATTGTATAAAGCTCTGAAACAAATTATTGCTATATTGAATTGATTTCAAGTTCTGCATTGTTTCCTTTTATTACTTTTATCATAGAGGCTTGAGACTTAATATTTCACTGCTTATGATGACAAAGGAGTAGACTTAATGGGCAGCCTCTTGCCTAACACCGCATGCAACCCTAAATGTTCTGAGGCATACCTATTTACATAAAACTGTAATACAATTGACCAAGTCATTGCCAAAATTGAAAAACTTCAGTCATAATAAAAGACCACTCTATTTGCTCAAATGCCTTTTCGAAATCTGCAAATAACATCAAACCCGTTTTTATCTTTAAATATATTCCATTTCATCCGAAGCTAAACAAACATATTCCCAAATAATCTGCCCAGTTAAAATCCTGTCTTATATTATTTGTTCGTGTTCTATATATCATGCCTAATCTTGTAACAATTGTACATTAAATTTCCAGAATCCTCTTTATGTTCATTATAAGGCCCAAATTCTATCTCAATATTTGTATGATCAGTTTTAAAAACATCAGAATATTTGAACGATTACAGAAATCTAAACGAAAAAAAAAAAAAAACATTTTTGAATTAGATTTTCTAATTGTCCACACATCGGGCACACATCAGCTAATAGTGGGGGCTGGCTGTTAGGGCTAAACAGGGGTTTTTCGGTGCAGATTTGGTCCAGAGGTAGATTATACCATACTTTTACGATTTCTGCCGGACGCCAAGAAGGGAACCCTCTGTGTATGCCATATTGGGCAAATCCAAAATGGCCGCCATCTGATTTAAAGGTCAAGAGTAGATCCAAAAGAAAAAGCGCTTGTATGATAATAGTTTATATATTTCTGGGGTTTTGGGGGTCAGAGAATCTGATTTTGATGTTCTTTCATCGATTTGAGGTCTCCTAGGGGCTGCCATACTGGTCATATTGGTCTAATCCAAAATGGCCGCCATCTGATAGTTACAGGTCAAGTGTAGTTACGAAAGGAAATGGGCTAGTATGATAAAAGGTTATATATTTATGGGGTTTTCTGGGTCAGAGAATCTGATTATGATATTCTTTCATCGATTTGAGATCTCCTCGGGTCATACTAGTAATATTGGTCAAATCCAAAATGGCCGCCATCTGATCTGATAGTTACAGGTCAATAGTAGTTCCAAAAGGAAAAGAGCTAAAATGATAACAGTTTATGTATTTATGGAGTTTTCGGGGTCAGAGAATCTGGATATCATGTTCTTTTACCAATTTGAGGTTTAGGTTGAGGTTCAGGGCTAAATAGGGATTCTTTGGTGCAGATTCTTCTAAAAGCACCAAATTTGGTCCAGAGGTAGATTATACCATACTTTTACGATTTCTGCCGGACGCCAAGAAGGGCACCCTCTGTGTATGCCATATTGGGCAAATCCAAAATGGCCGCCATCTGATTTAAAGGTCAAGAGTAGATCTAAAAGAAAAAGCGCTTGTATGATAATAGTTTATATATTTATGGGGTTTTGGGGGTCAGAGAATCTGATTACCAAAATATCCCTAACAGCTCCCACTATAAATCAAATTCTTCTATGGCTGTTTTTATATTTCTTAAGTAATTTTAAATGTGTAGACATGCGACGTCCTTTTTTAGGCTTTATTGAAGAATAAAACCAAATCACCAGCCCGTATAACCGATTCACAGGACGTCAATATTTGAGCCATAAATAATTACAAGAGTGATTTATGGCCAAATAAAATGCTTTTTCTACAATGCTATTAAACATCTGTGATAAGGTACACAGAAGGCTCCAACAGGGAAATGAAGTTCACCTATTTTCTAACGTGGATCCCGAAGTAAAATTTATAATGCTATAAACGATCCACCAACTGATTTTTGAATAACGGTGCCCAAAGTGCCGGTATTTTATGTTTTTGCAGGGGCCCACCACTGCGTTTTTTATTTGCAATTTCAGACAAAACATATATTTTGATTTTGATGTTTAGGTTTGCAGGAGTAGAAAACCCACTGAAGTTGGTTCATCAGCTGAAAGGGATCAAAGGGCTAGCCACTCTATAAACTATAGACAGTAAAATTAAGAATTTGGGCACCTGAGATATGTATTATGCTATAAAGCCTCTTACCCACAATGTATCATTGTATTTTGATACCGGAATGGAGATTTACTTTGAGTATATATCCCAGACAATAGTTAATGTTTTAGCTAAAACCAGTGGCGTAGACAGGTTCGTACACCTGGGGGGATGACTCAGGGGCGGATCTAGCTTTTTGCTAAGGGGGTGGAGTTGACCAATAATGACGATGCAGAGCATCGTCCACGAGCCGCAAAGCGGCGAGCCGATTTTTTGGGGGGTGTTTATTTGAACCCCGTAAGTGATGTTTTCCTGGCATCTATTAACACAATGGAGACCATAAAAAGCAGTGCATGAAAACGTCTTTTTAAATCAAGTAACAGTTAAATACACAGTTATATTCAGAGTTATCATGTGTTTGGTTAAGTTACCAGATGAGTTGAATATCTTCTCACAATATTTGCACTTGAAAGGGTTTCTCTCCAGCGTGCGTTCTTTTTTTTTTTTTTTTTTCTTTTTTTGCCGCCCAAGGGGGGGGGGGGTTTAAACCCCCTAACCCCCCCCCCCCCCGTAGATCCGCGCCTGTTTAATCTTGTGGTTATCTTGTGGTTTCCAAACCACAAGATAACCACAAAATACTTGTAAGATTTTCTCTTTTTTTACCGTCTGAATTGGCTTTCACCGTGTGAATGCGGCTAATAACAATAAACACAATTACAATAATGATGAGGATTATTATTATCATCATCATAATTATTATTATTATTATTAATATTATAATTGTTATCATTATTATTATTACTATTATTATCATCATTATGACTTATTAAGTAAGCAAATATCATTCCCCAAAACCTGGGGGGGGGGATGATTGTACATGCCATCCCCCCACCTTGTGAGGTGGGGGATGCATCCCCCTCATCCCCCGCCCGTTGTCTACGCCCCTGGCTAAAACTATAACTTATAGGCCTAAATAATTCAAGAGCATCAAACTATAGATTATATATTTTCTTTCTACATGCATGCATATACAATTCTTCGCATTTTGAACCCAGTACATAAGAAATGCGTGAAAAATCGTGTATTTTGCTGACTAGATTATTAAAACAGTACATATATGAGGAGATAAAACTTGATGATAGGACTACCCTGAGGTGTGGATCTGTGGCCCGTTCTGTGGGGGCCGTTCTGTGGACGTAGATGCTATGACGTCACGTCCCGTTGACTGCACTAGCATTGCGCATGCTCAGCTTGATCGGATCGTATCGTCTGCAATTTTTGTCTTATCCGAGCTAAGTGTCGCAGATTACACCGAGCAGAATCTGACATGAATCGCTTTCATCTTCAATTTAAACATGAGATTGATGAGCATTTGTCTAAAGAATTTGATAAAATTACGGTAACGTATTTTTGTAAACATTAATCAGAAAGTTACGAGCTTCCTTGCGATATGTGGATTGTAGCTGCATGCTGTAGCTGGTGACACCATCAGTCCCATATGTGTGAAAGTATGTGTGCAAAAAAGACAGTTTTTTATGTCGAATAATATGGAATTGGCACAATTTCCAATAACCTTGGTCCTTGTACTGTGTAGCTCGTGTATAAGTGAATTTCCATTCATGTAGTGTTTGGGCATAAATTATTTTGGGCCTCGTCATGAAATAAGCCGCTGGGCACTGGTCATTGAATATTGATTGATTAGTAAAGGAGCCCGTAGTAGGGTGTCTGATCGCGCACCCGATGTTGTGTGCTAAAATTCTTCCCACAGAGATTACACGCATCCCTATGCAGCCTACGTGCATTGCGCGACCATGCAAAAAAAGTCAATTTTTTTTTTTCAAATCGAGATTCAAACCTTTATCAGTTGTGATCCTGAAGGTGATAATCAATGAATGAGGTGTCATATGAAAGAGCAGGTGAATTCCAATATTTCCAAAGGGGCGTAGAGTAAAGTACCCGGTAATCGGTCAGCTCCGGTTTTCGGCCAATTGGTTGGATACATGGTAAAATCACTTTAAAATACATCGCATAATAGCATAACACATATCCCACACATACCATACCATGCCAGTGTCACTGAAGAACCACATTTGCAATGAAAAATATATCCTAAAATATCACATTTTAGCGATGTAATCGGCGGTCCCGCTACCCAAATCTGAAAAATCGAGTTTCTTACGCGTGTATGTAAGAAATATGGGTACCATAAAATGAGCTTTATTTCAAGTATTTTTCAGATATAGAGCCCGATTTTGTGCTGGTCGCAAGCTCAAAAGTATCTCATCGCATGTATTAAATCAATGCAGCCGCACACCGCGACGCACACACGATATGTCTGTCTAATTCAGATTCCAACTTCCGATCACCGCTGTGCCTGTATTCGGCCAGGCGAGCACCCGGGAGCTCCGGCGTGGGATACCTGCTCCGCCCGCTTGTGCTATACATCAGCGCAGAAACGCACGGCGCGCGCGAGCGCTTCCTATTGACTTTGTACATGCGGCCGTAAACTGAAACGCTCGGCCGATAACCGGCTCCAAAACAGTGAAAATTGAAATGAATATTGTCATGGCAATTCGTGATTTTTTTTGGGGATTCTTTTTTTGTTTAAATAATAATAATATTTGCTTCATGATTTGAACAAGAAATGATAATAAATAGGAAGTAAAGAGTCCAATAAATAGGATTTTGTCTTAAGTGGCCGAAAACCGGGTACTTTACTCTAGCCCCCGAAATTCTAAAAATATCTTGGTCAAAACAGCAATTTAAACATGGTGTCCTGGCTAACTCTGAGGTTTGTCACTTTTGAGATATGACGCCCCGATCGATAAGTAGTCCCAGTCCTAAGGAACAATTCTATGTGACTATATTTTCGCTAGCCCCCAGGGATCACAACTGATAACAGTTTAAAAATACCCTTCTCGCTATTTGGTGGATCAGCTAATTAGGGGGCGTGCGCTCCGCTCAGTCCAAACCATGGTTACATCGCGTAACATCTCCACGCACGAACGAAACCCCAAATTCAAGTGACTGAAATTATGGTTGGAAATTCCCTCGATAAACCCGGAAGTGAATACACGTTATAGTCAATGGCAATATCGCGGAGACAACGTGCGTTGTCTCCGCGATATTGCCATTGACTATAACGTGCATTCACTTCCGGGTTTATTGTGCGACGAACGCCAACCATACTAGTCAATCGCACATGTCGCGGAGACAGCGTAGCTCAAGCTGCAAGTCGCGGATTGGCTTAGCAGCATGCGTACGATATGCATACGCTTGCATATCGCGCGATACAGCTGTTTGGCTAAATTTAGCAAAACAACATCACTCTGCGTGGACGTCTTTTTCGACGATTTTGACCAAAATGATATGAATATACCAGCGTGTTGGAGGGGCTGTAACTTTTGATAGAAACATCGGTGAGACTTGAAATTTGAAATGTATTATTCTGATAACATTTTTTATTCAAATATCAAACAAAAATGGTGAAAAACGATCCCAAATTGAAAATTGAAAAATCGTTCAGACACCCTACCCGTAGGCCGTAATCGGCCAGCTCCAGTTTTCGGCCGATTGGTTGGATGCAAGGTAAAATCACTCTAAAATACATCGCATAATAGCATAACACATATCCCACACATACCATACCATGCCAGTGTCACTGAAGAACCACATTTGCAATGGAAAATATATCCTAAAATATCACATTTTAGCGATGTAATCGCCGGTCCCGCTACCCAAATCTGAAAAATCGAGTATCTTACGCGTGTCTGTAAGAAATATGGGTACCATAAAATGAGCTTTATTTCAAGTATTTTTCAGATTTAAAGCCCGATTTTGTGCTAGTCGCAAGCTCAAAAGTATGTCATCGCATGTATTAAATCAATGCAGCCGCACACCGCGACGCACACACGATATCTCTGTCTAATTCAGATTCCAACTTCCGATCACCGCTGTGCCTGTCTTCGGCCAGGCGAGCACCAGGGAGCTCCGGCGTGGGATACCTGCTCCGCCCGCTTGTGCTGTACATCAGCGCGGAAACGCACGGCGCGCGCGAGCGCTTCCTATTGACTTTGTACATGCGGCCGTAAACTGAAACGCTCGGCCGATAACGGGCTCCAAAACAGTGAAAATTGAAATGAATATTGTCATGGCAATTCGTGATTTTTTTCTGGGATTCTTTTTTTGTTTAAATAATAATAATATTTGCTTCATGATTTGAACAAGAAATGATAATAAATAGGAAGTAAAGAGTCCTAAAAATAGGATTTTGTCTTAAGTGGCCGAAAACGGGCTCCTTTACTCTAGGTCTAGAGGTCTAGATCTAGATTAGACGGGTAAGGAGGGGGTAATTGACCGGCGACAGTTTTTCGGCCGGTCCGTTGGCCTGAACGGAATGTGGGTACCATTAAATGAGCTTTATTTCAAGTATTTTTCAGATTAAGAGCCCGATTTAGTGTGAGTTGCATGCTCAAAAGTATCTCATCGCATGTATTAAATCAATGCAGCCGGTCACCGCAGCGTACACACGATATCTCTGTCTAACACAGATTCCAATTTCCGATCACCGCAGAGATAATTTTTCGGCATGGCGAGGTCCGGGGAGCTCCGGCGTGGGATACCTGCTCTGCCCACTAGTGCTATAGATCAGTGGGGAAACACATGGCGCGCGCGTGCGTCCTTCCTATTGACTTTGTACATCCGACCGAAAACTGTCTCACTATGCCGATAACTGTCTCTGAAACAGTGAAAATTGAAATGAATATTGTCATGGCAATTCATGATTTTTTTCTGGGATTCTTTTTTTGTTTAAATAATAATAATATTTGCTTCATGATTTGAACAAAAAATGATAATAAATAGGAAGTAAAGAGTAAAAAAAAATAGGATTTTGTCTTAAGTGGCCGATAATCCCCCTTCTTTACTCTATACAGCGGTTGTCCAGAAGCCTATTCAAAATTTGACCCGTAACTCCGGCGTGGAGATACCCTACTAAAACATACCCAAAATGAAGTATTTATTCATTAAATGTCCAAATAAAGATCATTAGGCCATGTAAAATTGATTTCATGTTGATCGTCCCCGCCCGCTTCCTTTTTGGGGGCCGCCTCCTATTTTTTGTTATTTGTTATTTTTTTTTTTATTTATTTTTTTTAAATTTTTTTTGAATTTTTTTTTGATTTTTTTTTTTTTGAAAGAAAAAAAACATGAAAAACACTGCTAAAATGGCTCTATTTCTGGTTTTAAAAAAAAAAATTGTCGGCGGCCATCTTGAAAAAAAATAGCCTCGACTGTCAGGGAAAATGTACCGAGCGGCCATTTTGAGCGGCCATTTTGAAAAATATCAAATATCAAATAACATGGTACACCCTCCTCCTCTTTTTCAAAAAATCCGGACGATCAACATGTAATCAATTTTACATGGCCTTAGTTACAAGTCATTATGTTTATTACCTGTTTCGTGTCAATTTTCTTGTTATTTTTGGAGTATTTTTGGATAAACGTTGATATTAGTATACACTTTTTCACAAGTTCAACGGCAAACCGCTGCACATTACAAGTACATACCGATGGTGGGTTGCGAGCGGGCACGCGCGCGCCTGTGTGAAGTTATCTACCGTAATGACATTATTGCAAAACGTTTATAGAGCTTCTTAATCTTCTTTGTACTACAGTATGTTTTGGCAGCACACTGCATTGTTCCTAAAATGTGTGATTATTAAAATCATTTTGTATTGCAGTGTAAGCTGGATGAGGAAGGAGATGGAGAAACTAAGGGGAATTGGTTCAGTCAACTTCTGAAGACGTTGCCCATCCCACCTGCCTATACTATTGTCAGAGTCAATGATCTTTCTTCTGATAGAGAGGAAGTTCACCAGCTTCTCCAGAAGCATATCAACAAGGTAAATCATAAAGATTATTCTGTGCTGTAGACTACTATGTTGTAGTTCTCATGAAACCCTTTATACATTAATGAAGAAGTTTTAAAATATGAATTTTTTCAAATAATTTATTTATTATTTTTTGTCTTGTTCCAGGCTTTAGAACAAATCTTAGCATTTTAAATTCAAATTATGTGCAGCTACAATCTTTTTTTTTATAAATCAAAATTGTTTTTTTTTAACCATTCTTAATATTTTGCAAGGAGAGGAAAGAACAATAGAATACTGTTTTATATGTTTCTCCCAACCCCAAACAACCCACCCCCCCCCAAAAAAAAAATGTTATCAATTTGTTAAGTACAGCTTAACTTCAGTAAATAGTTTGGTGGTGCATATAAATTCATCTACCATGTCTTGCTCTCCGTCTTTTAATCTACTTGATAATTTTTGTATTCCTCCCCCACATCTTCCCTCTCCTCTTTCCACGCAGCAATATGAGCACAAACCATTCGCCCCACCAACAGTGGTGCCCCACCCCCTCCTGAGAGACGTCCTGGTCATTCCCAGTGGACACCAGCGGGACGACGCTGAGCTCAAGCCAGATAGTAAGGAGGTCATTGTTGACCTGGCTTGTGGGATGGCAGTGTTAAGAGGAGCCGAGGTGTTTGCCCCAGGCGTAATGGCAGCGCCAGTAGGTAGACACATGACATGGCTTTTTCTTCCATTTTTGTTCGTTATAAACAGGGTGGTCTACAAACGAAATCTGCAACTAATTTTGCAACTTGGAAGGAGTATGAACTGATACTGTACACAAAGCCCAAATTCCTTTTCCCTTCAATTTATAGGGGTTGCATAAGGAGCTATGGCAGGTCTTGCGTTCTCAGATGCTTTTATGGTTCAATCTTAGCCATATTCTGAAGCATTTTTAAACGACTCTGATGACTAATATTTCAGAAAAAGTCTTGGTTCAGATTAAATTCATAACGTACAAATGTAGCTAATTTTCAAACCTGTAGATACAAAAATTGAAACCTGTCGCTGTTTTAAGCTAAAACTCCTTTTGGACCACCCTGGTCATAAAAATACTCTACCAAAGATTTACCTGTAAGTAGTAAAACTAGCACCAATACTATGAGTAGTTAAGCAAAAAGTCTGCATTTTGACCAGTTGTCCACAAATGATATTGGCCCTAAATATAACTTCATTCCAAGCAATATCAGCAGATGACACAAAAACTCTGTAAAGTCTCATATTTTTTTGTGGCACTTATAGTTTTGTTGTAGCAATTATTAAAGCAAAAGTTTCATATTTTATACCTATGTTTCTGTTATTAGTATCACTAGACCAATAATTGCGATATCCCTTCTTTTCTTTAAAACAAATCATCGCAGCAATGAACAGAGGTGACACAGTTGCGGTTTATTCTGATGTAAAGGGTCTTTGTCGAAGAGGCATGACGACTAGGTTTGAAGGTGAAAGACTATTTCTAGGAAATGGAAGGGCCATGATGAGCAGACATGACATCATGGTAGCGACATCTTCTCCCAGGTTTGTTGATGGTTTGATCTACAGAAAAGAAAGAGATATAGTTCTTGTTTTTAGGCCTGATGCAATACTGCAAGTCCCGAAAGGAATACAGATATGAAAAAAGACAAAGAATTTCAGTAGTATTATAAATAATATTTAGTGTTTATATAGTGCTGAATACATCAACGATGTCTCAATGCGCTTAACAAATATACTATTACCCCAGTCACCGGATTCAGGTTTGCCTGCACACAATTTATGCACATTCTCCTCTCCCTGTGGAACATTCCAGCTAGGCACCATTTTACAGACGCTTACAATGCTGAGCAAACTACATTCATGTTCGATTATCGTCTTGCCAAAGGACGTTAATGCCAAGCTGGAATTTGAATCCTGTACCTTGTGATCGGCAGTCTGGTGACACTCAACTAGATCCATCCCCCCCCTCCCTCCTTCCCCACACACACACACACATATTTAAATATTCAAAGAGCAAATTTGGTTTTGCCCTGATTCGTGGTGTACTAAAAGTACATGTAAATATCCACCTATGCTTTGGAGTGTAGGGCACAAGAAAAATATTGTGGTGGTGAAACAAATGCACTGGCACTATATGTATATTCATGAACCCCTATTACATAACTATATTTATTTCATTTGTTTGTTATTTGCTCTATAAAATAAAAAGATATAGGGGCATGAGAAAAAGCTTTTCAGGTGGGCTGTATCTAATACAGACCACCTTATAATTTTGTTAAAATTGCCTTTATTTATTTTTCTTATTTCGACCCACTTTTTTGTGAGCAAGATAATTTGGAAATGGTTCAATCAAATACCTTGAAATTTGGCACACATATGTATAGGCATTAGAACAAAACACAGAAGTTTGTTTAACCTTGACCTTGACTGATGACGTCATCTAGGCGCCATTTTGTGAAATTTTCTGAAAATAAACTCTTGATCATATCTTCATAACCAAAAATCATTTCTCATTCATATTTATCATGATCAAGGTCAATATCCGTTCGGTCAATTTCAGGTCAAAAAACGCGCGCATGCGCGTACGTCCGCGCGTCAATGCACGCGCAAAATTTCAAAATGCTCAAAATTGTCTCAAATTTATTTTGCATACGTTTCAGGTCATTTTAAGCATTTTATAAAAAATCACGCACACGCGCATGTGCGCGCGTTTTCGCGCGTAACACCATTACACAACATAGAATCGCCATTCTTTTTTCTTTCATGATATTTCTCATATTTTTTCAAGGAATTTGATACCATGTTTATCTCTTTATGACCATTAATAACAAGATGAGCGTCCATTCAAGATAAATGTCTGTGCGCGCAAGGTCTTTTAATACATAGCATATATGGGCAAAAACATGCCTATACAAAATCCATTATACCTCTTTGGAATGAGCCGTGACCTTCAATTTGTTTTCATATTTAGATAGAGTATGAGTCAGAAATATGATTCCATGTCTCATTTGGCCATTAAGTGTATCGTGACATCATCATAATGGGCTTGGAACTCAAAATACGAATTTGCATATTATGACGTCAGCATATTTATGGTAAATTGATTGTATCTCTGTAAATATTGATCGATTTTCTTCCAAATTTCGATATGATGTAGCTAAGACAATTCTCTACAAGCTCATTAATCACCATTTTTCATTTTGATCACGTCATAGGGAAAATTACGATTAAAGGGCACATATCAGAAATTTATTAACTTCGTGTGATGCCTATGGAAGGTGAATTACGTTCACATCATTAATCTACATGACATTGTTCTTTAGCAGTATCTCGCTTATTTTCGCTCTATTTTGTGTCAAATTTTAGTTGACCAGCCCACCTATACTTGTTCCAAACAAGTATTATATGTCTAGTTCTACATGTATTTTGTTAATCTGTACCACAGAATAGCTTTCTTGAATGATGGCACGTTATAAATCGGGTGTTTATTCTTTTCTTTTTCCTTCAGTGGAACAGCAGTCGTGATGATAGACCCCGTGTTTGACTGCCCATCTCTCAACGCTGTTCTTCCATCCAAGATCTTCCTACAGAATCTCCCTTCCATTATAGTTGGTCATGTCTTAAACCCCCAGCCTGGAGAGAATGTGCTAGACATGTGTGCCGCACCAGGTAAAAATTCATTTTTACTGAACTTCATTTCTATCTTGGCATGGGTGTTAAAAATCTTTGGTCTTATCATAATGTATATCAAGATTTAATTTGCAGATACAGACTCTTTTCATCACATCCTGAAAGAAAGCCGTTACTACCATTGGCAATGTGTCAATGTAGCTCTTATGGCCATCTTGCGGGCATCCAACGATTTGCCATGTGACAAATTAATAATAATAATAGTGGATTCTTGGATAGCGCTCATGTCTGTCGGACATGACACTCCTGGCGCTCGTCACTTATTACCCGGCTTTAGCATGGCTGCCGTTATGAGGCCCCGGCATTTCAAGGAATTAATTCCTGCCAGGTAGCCACTTACATCACCTATGTCTAGTGTGGCAAATGTAGATTAATGTCTTGCCAAAAGACATTGGTGCTGTGGCAGGACTTGAACCGTGAACCTTGCAATCCACAGTCCAGTGAGGTACACGCTCGACCACGACACCGCTACATTAACCCTTTGACTACTGAAAGGTTATATGTTCCCCATAGGTTAAATACAGGAATCACCCGGTTCCAGTAGGCGATGGGTGAAGCCCAACCTAAGTTTGTCAGTCTCTGGCTTGCAGGAGGGAGCAGCAGTACAGAGCTTGTAGTCTTCATGTTCAGACCTTATGTTATGCATTACTACGAAATGGGTTTGTGCCTGTAAACTAGTCATGATCCTTCTTTCTATTGGAATGGACCATGTGAACCACCCCTCTGTGGTTTTTGTTTTTGTTGGAGGGGGCGGGCCCATTGATCACATATAAACTTACTGCCTGGAGAATGATGTTAAGACTCTTCAAAGAAGGCAAGTCTCAACTGTACATTATCTATGAGTGCTTAATATCCTTTTCAGTTGGATTTCTCTTTTGTAGTTAATATATTTTCATTTCCTTTTTTGTTTCACTTCCATAGGAGGCAAGACAACTCACATTGCTACTTTGATGAAGGATCAGGGGAGGGTTATAGCCCTGGACAAGGCATCCAAGAAGATTGCCAGAATAGAAGGCTATGCAGCAGCTCTTCACTTGACATGCATTCGAGCTTACTACTTCGATGCTACTAAGGCCTGTGCTACCAAATCAGAGATTTTAAAAGGAAAAGGTATGAAAGACAGCATATTGCCAAATTGAGGGGACAGCTATCCCCCCCCCAAAAAAAAAAAAAAAAAAAAATATATATATATATATATATATTAAAAAAAATAAAGAAAGAAAAAATAAATAAAGAAAATGAAAAAAATTGGACTTTGTTAAAAGACATGACATCATTGACTCGTGCTCTGGCAGCAATTGCTCCGCAGTCACCAAACAATATGTACTTTACCCTAACTCTAAACCTTACCTAAAACCCAATCTTAAATCCTATTGAAACCCGAAACCTAACCGCATGTTTTGATGAAAGAAACCTGGAGGAATTGTGGCCTGAGAACAAAGTGTATGTCATAGCACCCTCTTAAATTAAGCTTGGCTCTTAATTCTTTCAAATCCATTCTGCAGAAGACTTCCATCCACCCTTCCCGGAAATGACCTTTGACCGGATTCTACTCGATGCCCCCTGCAGCGGTCTGGGTCAACGTCCTACGATCTACAACAAGATGAGCCTCAGTGAGGTCCAATCTTATCCTGCTCTTCAACACAAGCTCTTTTCTGCGGTAAATAAGTCTCTGTTATACATTACTGTCAGTTGTGAACCTCTACTGAACTGACTATTTTGAGTTTTGTCTGATTGGGTTTCAAAATTCTTTTTTGAAGCATTCAGTTTGAGCAAAATTTGGCATCTAACTCAAAAAAAGTTTTGAAGAATATATATATTTTTTTTTCTTCATTTATCATTCAGTATTCATAATGCTTATTGTAAATTATATACACAAATACTCAGGTTTTTTTTTAAATTGATAAGCAGGTAAAGAATATCTTTGTATAATTAACACATGTAGTATTTTGTGCAATAGTTTGTTTGGTTGACATACAAAATCAAAAAACCACTTCAATCCTTAAATATGGTTCTATGATTGGTTTTGATCAGTTATAATCAGTGCTACAACTTTGATATTTTGCACTCTGTGTTAGATTTCTTGCTTTACTTGCTACCGATGAGGAGGCGCGAAAGCTCAGTCGGTAGAGCAATGGTCTCGGAATCTGGTGACCCGGGTTCAAAACCAAGTCGATGTGCTAGTGCCCTTTGGTAAGGCATTAATCCTCACTACCAGGTCCCTCGGAGAGGACCTAAAGCCGTCAGCCGTCTGGTTGCTTACTTACAAGCATTTATGCTCTCTTAGCAGTCGGGTAAAATAACCACCACTACCACCATGAGACCTTAAACTTATCTTGAGTCACTCCATATTATTTCATAGAAAATATTTTAATAGAAATACTGTCTACTTATCTTTCAGGCTGTCAGGTTGCTTCGAGAAGGAGGCACCCTTGTCTACAGCACCTGCACAATCACTCCAGAGGAGAATGAAGGCCTGGTGGCATGGGCGCTCCAGAAACACCCACAGATGAGACTAGAGAAACAGGTAAAAATGCTTAAACCAGAAACTCTGGTGTGCAAGAGATGTTATCAAATCCTGGGAGTGTTTATGGGTAATTCCACAAATCGGGACCCACTTTGTGACATTTTTGGTGTCCCACTTACATACTAGGAACCCACATGTATTAATGATTTCCAAACATAATATTGCATCCTGATACCTAGAATCACTTAACAATCTCACTCCACTATTAAAGTCTTTACTCAGAGCCACAAACATGTGTGGGTTCCTTACATGTATGTAAGTGGGACACCAAAAATGTCACAAAGTGGGTCACTAATTTATAGAATTGCCCATATAATGCTCTCTATTATTATTACCCTGGCTTTAGCACGGCTGCCACTACAGTGCTCAAGAATCTTAATGAATTAGTTCCTGCTAAGTACTCAGTTGAAACCTCACCTGGGTGGAGTATGGCAAAGGCAGATTAATATCTGGCCAAAGAACATTAGTGTTGCGAAGGGATTTGATTTGTGTACCTTCTGGTTAACAGTCCTGAAACAGGGCCCAGCTCAACAGATTAGCAAAAGTTTCATACAGGGAACTGATATGCAATTGACATGATTTTTGCAATGCTGGAAAGAATTTTGCTTTGAAAATGGCCGTTTGTAACAATTGGCAACAGTCTATCCCATATTCATTAGAGTAGACTATGCTAAATCTGGCCTAAACTAATGACCCAGTAGTAGTAATGAGATTATTGCATGGATTCGCATCTGAGGAAGATGTCTGAACTCTAGACATTGAAACTGTTACAGGTAATTTTTCCTTTTGGATGTGATACAAGAACTTTCAAACCATTATTACACACTTCCTGATGAAACTCTTTCATAATCTACATGTATGAATGTTCTAAAGAAGAAAAAAATATTGTTTTCATAAATTATGGAATTTCATTTTCAAGTTTGAGTGGAAGACTGTAAAATAAAAGTATTGTTATCATAAAAAGAGGAGGTCCACATAGATGTACATTTGTTAACACCTTGCCGCTTCTTAATGTACCATCTACAGTTCAATTTGAGTATTTTAGTACATGTATTTGATGATGACCTCTTGTAATTTTTTCCTTTTTTTTCTCCGTCTCCTTAGGAACCACATTTTGGTGGTCCAGGTCTTCCAGTACCTGGCCTCAGCAGCGAGGACCAAGAGAAAGTCAAGCGTTTCACACCGGCATCCCACCTGGCAGGCTTCAATCAAGGGAGAACAGTGAGCTGCAACGAGGACACGATAGGTTTCTTTATAGCTAAATTTGTCAAATTGACTGATAGATAATAATAATAATAATAAACCATTCTTATATAGCGCATATCACAAAAATATATTAAGTCCCTATGGGCTCAGAAGAAAGAAAGGAAGGGATAATAGCAGACATGAGGGAAGAGAAGAGAAAGAATAACTGCTTTGTCATAACATTGTACTAATTTAACAAACAAACAAACGTGTCTTTAAGAGATTCTTGACATTTTCTTATCTATCAACCTGCTTAAGATGATTTATTCCATAACTCTGCAGCTGCCAGTTGAGAAGATCTCGTACCATGGTAATTTGTTGATATTGAGGGATGAAGTAACAAGGATTTTGACTGAGAGCGCATGTTTCTTGCAGGGCAATATTTTGTTATCAATTGTTGTAAGTAATCAGGGCCTAATCCTTGCATGCACAAGAACACCAATGTCGAAATCTTAAAATCAATTTGTTGTTTTACTGGAAGCCGAGTGCGAGTAACGTACCTTGCCGCAGAGTTTTTGATTCTTTGCCAATTCTGAATTTCATTATCAGGAAGACCATATAAGATACCATTACAAAAATTAAGGCAAGAAACTATGACAATGTTGTTGTTTTAGTTTTTAGGGGTTGTTATTCAGAAGTGAATATTTACGCCTCTTCTCTTAGGATTTTTTTTCCTTTAAAATTAGATTGCCTTTTTTAAATATATAGAATTTTGATAAATTGGATTTTTAAAAGTTAAACTGTTTATGTTGAAGAATTTAGTGGCTGGCGAGCAAAAGGCTTATCGGCTACATGTATATAGGACGCCCAAGGACCAGCTCGGACACGGTACATTTTGACAAGCTTCTCAACTCAGCCTAATGCTGAGCCTAGGCCCTCTGACGTCCGACGTCCACCAATAAGTCTAGTCGTCTCCACCGCGTTTCTTCAAAATTTTGTCCGATAACCAATAAAGAAAAAGAACATATACATGAAGATTCTAAACGTTAATATAGGCAGATCTCTCTTTTTTCTTTTTTTTCTTTTTCACTCTTCTTCTTTTTCATGTGTCACTCACTATAAAAAAGCAAAACATCTTGGGCTCAAATATTTATGTGCGGTGCAAGGTGGTTAGTAGGGGTACAGGTGTACCCTTTTAGTTCTAACTACAAAGTTGACCAGAGCCTGCTGGTGGTTAATATCTGTGGATTTCAGGAGTATTGGGATTGCTTATCATTTTCTATGCCAGATTCTGTAATGAGCATGGCTCTTTCTATAAGAAAGAGCGGGCACTTGCATAAGAAATGGTTAACTGTTTCTTTTTTGTGCTTACAATGTGAACAATGACCAGTCTCCTGTTGATTCAACTCAAATAGATTTTCATTTAAACCTAAGTTCCCCAATCTTAGGCGATGGAGAATAGCTTCGTTACTTCTGTTGTTCAAGTAACACACAAATGTATTTGATACCAAAGTTTACGTTTCCCGTAGGGGGGATAATGTTTCATTCCATCTTTTTTGCCATATCTCTATGTAGTATTTCTTTAAAACATAGTTTGATTCTGCTCTGGTAAGAGCTTTGTTGATTTCTATTTTTTTTATTAGTCCTGCTTTAGCAAACTTATCTGCTATCTCATTGTGTACATCTAGTCTCCCACCAAGGTTTTGAGTTGAGCCATTTGAGTGTATTACAGTGTTACCAAATGAAGTGGTATCGATCCGTTTACATTGTCTAATTTACTTGTAAAGTGAAGGACCTTAGTTTTATCCTCATTGAGTTTAAGACCATTTTGAGCCCAGCAATTCTTGATATCTACCATACGATTGCTGTCCCCCCTTGGCTATGAAAACAGGGATGACTTTGTGTTTGATCTAACGTTACCTTTAACTATAATTCACATTTTGACTAACCACTAACTCCCACAAGGGTTCCTGTACTTAGATGTAGGCCAACCTTCCTCGTCATTCCTCTGGTCTTCTCTGCATACCTCACCTCTGTCTGTCTTCCAATATTGCCTTTTGTAGCTGGAATATTTATATGTTTGGATGGCAAAATGGATGATGTATTTTCTTCGTCGAAAAAAATCAGACATTCTCAGTAGCATTTATCAGGTTTAGATCTTGTACTAAACCTATGCCTGGGACAAGCTGCCATGATGAAATAAGAGTCTTTGTCTAGACCTCTACAATTTGGCCATGGCATGGCCGCGGCATGGCCGAGCGCGCTTGTACTAGTCTCAACCTAAGCACAAATTTCACCTTTCTATTTGTGAATAATCCTTTCATTGCCAGAATCTTGTGCAAAGCAAATGATGCAAGTGTATTACAGTGTAACCAAATGAAATGGTCTCAATCCGTTTACATTGTCTTTATTTACTTGTAAAGTGAAGGACCTTAGTTTTATCCTCATTGGCCCGAATTCACAAAGGAGGTTTAGATTTAACCCAGGCTAAATCGCGTCATAATACGTCATAACCCCGAGCTTTAGACCATGGGTCATTATTTTGGTATTCACAAAGGAAGTTTAGATTTAACCCAGGCTAAATCGCGTCATATTACGTCATATTTTTAGCCTGCTCAGAAGGGTGGTTTAAACAGCGGGCTAAATCTAACCCACGGTTTAACCCACGGTTTAACGCGTCATATGACGTCATACCAGCGAGCTTTGGCTTTTTAGCGCAGACGACCGTACAAATTTTGTTGACAAATTTGTGGTGAAACAAAGTGAAGAGACCTTCACAAAGTTGCTGTTTTTTCAACTTTGATAGCCTACATTGTAAGTATTTTTAGTTATTCACAACATATGTGTACCATATTCTCAGTTCTGCTACAATGGAAGCCCAATTGAACATGATTTATGTGCGTAAAAAGTGCACGAATAATAATCTTCATCGTAAGTTGCACAGCCTTTGCGAACATTGTCGCAGAACCTAACGCAGCTCGGACCCATGCGTGTGTATTTGTGTTGTGTTGTTTAAGTAATCCTGCGAGGCAAGGCAATTTCGCAATAACTGCGAATGTGCCAGCTAACAATACGAAATTAGTTATAACATCACACAATTGTGTGATTCGGGAAGAAAAATATGTTAATCATGACATTTGAGACATTCCTGGCCTCGGGGGGGGGGGGGGGGGGGGGGGGGGTAGCGACAGTTCCATTTGTATTTTCTGCTCTGCTGATGCTGCTTCTCATCTGACTAACGAAGGAGAACGAAAAATGCCGAAATGAAAATGAAAATTCTTCCGCGCTGATGGATTTTACTAGTCTAGAGTCTAGTCTAGATCTAGGCCTACTAGACTATATACAGATTACAGAGGCCTGGTCTAGACCTAGATCTAGACTAGTCTCTAGTACTACTAGGCCTACACTGACACTCAGTAGTACTGACTGAATAAGACCTGAGCTTGAGCTCGAAGTCGGTGGCAGTGAGACACGCAAACACGACGTGGGCCTAGGCTAGATGGTAGATCTAGATCTAGGCCTAACTTAGATCTATCTAGATCTAACTTAGATCTAGTCCTCAGTCTCAAGAAATTAGTCAAAGCACGCCAAACCATGGCATGAATTTATTAAAAGTATTTTGTAAATTATTAAAAGATGCAGATCTAGATCTAGATCTAGATCTAGAGTCTAGATCTAGATCTAAGTTAGACCTAGAGGTCTAGATTCTAGATCTAGAACCTAGATCTAGTCTAGGCCTAGACTAGATCTAGACCCTATTCTAGATTTAGAAATTGAAATGGAATAAAATATTTTTCAAAATAGACCTAGATTCTAGACCTAGGTCTAGATCTAGTCTAGGTCTAGTCTAGTAATCTAGACTTTCTAGATCTAACTTAGATCTAGAACTAGACTCTAGTAGTCCTAGGATGTAGGGTCTAGACTACCGTTATAGACCTCAGGCTCTAGATCTAGAATCTAGTCTCTGTGGTCTAGACCTTTCTAAACCTAACTTAGATTCTAGACTACTTTTCATAAATTCATGCCAAGCCCGCGCCGATGGTTTGTTGTGTTGTGTCTTGAGAATTTGAGTGTTTGTGTGTCTCACCGTCACTGAGTTCGAGCACAAGTCTGAGCTGAATGAGAGGTACTTTGTCTTAGACTTTAGGCCCATCTAGATCTAGATCTAGACTAGACTCTAGTACTGACTGTCGAATGTCTCTAGACCTACACTCAACTCCTACAAATTTATACTACATCATGATCATGTCTAACTTTAGGCCTAGAGTCTACATCAATACATTGTTGTACTTGAATTTTGAAGCAAGTTTAAAATCTGTGCAAGCAAATAGCCAATAAATCAATGTGTGTTCTTCCTAATCTACATCATGTAATCTTAGTCAAATTCAACCTTTCACATGGGACATCCAATGCTAATTTACATGTACATGTATCTAATTTCACATTTTATCAAGCATGAGTAGATTTTTAACAAAACATGACAGGAATTGGCCCCTACGTTCTTATGGAGGTTCAGTGACATCATCTTTCCTAATTACCCAATAGTCTAGTATGAATCAATAGCACTCATTTCTTTAATGCAATCAAAGTATCGTTAATATTTTTTTTAGAGTTATTCAAAGCTATTCAAAATCAGATTGTCTACAATACAAAGAATGCAAAACGTGTAATATCATAGGATTTAGTTGATAAACAATGAATGATATTTTTTCATTTCATGTTCTAATTTTAATTCACTTTTTTCTATTTTGTTGTGACAGAGACAGCATGGCTGAATATATTCACCATCTCCGCCAGCTTGATCGGAACAGAGAGTTGATAGGCAGACTTCAGAGAGGCCTTCGTGACCCATGAACCCTTTTGAAGTGTATGATGATGAGTCATTTCGGACCAGGTATTGGTTTTCAAAAGAGACAGTGCTCTACCTCATCAACTTGGTGGATGAAGAGCTGAGGAGGACGACAGACAGAAACGACCCAATACCTATACAGGTAGTGACAGCACTTTGATTCTATGCTGTTGGTGAGTAATTTACCTTATTTAGTATTTAGTAAATTTCTATTTAATCTGGGCTGAGCGAAAAAGTAAAAGGGTAAAATTGCGGTTACCATGTTTTGCGGGAGGTTTTTTCATAAACCGGGAGATTCTACATCAAAGCGGGAGGAAGGGCGTGGTGGCGTGAGACTCCCTCTAAATGCAAGAGGGTTGACAGTCCTGATTTAATAAAAAATCTATTGTACAATTTTAAGGACATTAAACATTTCTCAGTTTGAGAATTTGATCTGGCCATGTAACTTGTAAGAAATTGTACTAGTTGATATTTCACTAAAAGGATTTTTTTTTTTACAGGGTCATTCCAAAAGATGCATGGTGATGAGGCACAACTTTCACAGTCTTCTGTATGCAGAGTCATCAAAGACGTGTCAGAAGCGTTTGCAAGAAGAAGGAAACAATTCATGAAGTTCCAAACATCAAGAGAAGAAGTAGGAGCAACACAGCAGCAGTTCTACCAATACTGCAGGTTGCCATGTTTTCTAGGTGCAATTGATAGGACTCATGTCTACACCAGGAGTCCTGGTGGAGATCAAGCCCTGTATTTTATTAATAGGAAGAACAGATACTCTATTAATGAAATGAAAATTTTCCCTTTTTTTGGAGATGCTCCCCATTTACTTTTAATCCGATTAATTAAATGACCGATATGGAATTGGTTCACCCTTTAGTTTCTCTGAACGAAAAGTACACCCATGCAGTACTGTGGTCTGAAACAATTAGACCGTATGATTTGAAATCTAATGGTTGATATAGTTCCTCCCAAAAACATTTTTGCAAAAGGTACCAACCACTTTGAAAGGGAAATCGTCATCATCTTCATCATCATCAACATCATCACTGAAATCGTTATTTGACTGCTTCATCACCATCACCACCGACAACATTGCTGTCATCATTATCATCACTGACATCATCATCGACTTCAACATTGTCTTCGTCAATAACCTTGAATACTTGTTTTGATTATCCATATTAAATCGTCAATATTTAAATATAAATTTCTCTTGTTTGATGGTGTGGTTTTTCTTGTGAAATCATTAAGTTAGGAGGTAAACGTTTTACAAGTGAATGACCTACTTTGTTTATCTTGTTTAATTATTAATATACCATTTGCTGTTATCTATTACTTATAATTACCCAGTACACACCATGAATTAAAATGGATTCGTTATGTTTCGCTAAATCCAAACAACCAGAGAGAGAGAGCAAAAGATAAAGAGAGAGATGAAGAAAGAAGGAGAAAGGGTATGTGTGAGAGAGAGAGGTGGAGAAAAAAGAGAAAGAAAAGGGGTACGAGAGGGATTTAAAAAAAATGGAGTTCTAACAAAATAAAAAGATATTTGAGAGAGGTGGGGTGGAGAGCTGGTGAAAAAAGAGAGACAAACAAAAACAAGGAAGGTGAAAGAGTGAGAAATAGAGACGAAATTTACAAAAAAGTTCTTTTCTTTTTGTTTAAATCACTATTCCCTTGAGAAATTCAAAAAAGCAGAAAAATTAAGAAAAAAAAAATGAACGCCCCCCTAAGAAAAGAATTAATACAGCAAATAAACAAATTCAGAAAAAATTAATGCCCCCCTAAGAAAACAATGCCCCCTCCCCCTAAGAAAAATTAAAAACAAAATTACCCCCACCCCCAGTAAAGCCCCACCCCCTAAGAAAACAATTAATGCCCCCTCCCCCTATGAAAAATTAAGAACAAAATTAACCCCCCCCTCCCCCCCCCTCAAAAAAAACCCCCATCCCCTAAGAAAACAATTAATGTCCCCCCCCCCCCCCCCGAATTAGGCCTAATAATTCTTTATCACATGTCAAGACTGCCTTGTTTTTGCTGTCCTCCTATTTTATATGACCAGTAAGCCCGGTTTTTTTTCTCAATACATCTATGCATTTTATGCATTAATGCCAGTATTTTCTATCAGATAGTATTTATCGTAACCTTTCAGCCCTTTCTTTCTACATCATCAACACATTCTGGACTAAACGTCATCGATCGCTTTCGCTGCCTCTATGGAGTCTACGCTATATATAACACGAGTCTACTCTTACTTCGGATTGATTAATTGCTAAACTAAAGTGTGACCTACGCTCTAAAATCATCATAACAATCAACGAAAATGTGATCATATAGCTCTAAAATGAACACTACATCATAGAAAATTTTCACTCTGGTATAAGGGTCGTTTACAGAAGTTTTTTGTGGACTCTTCCACGAAAACTGTCGATGTTTAGTGTGTTGTGATGCCCAGCTGATCATAATTATGTCGGACGATTATAGGCCATAAATTAACAACGATAGTGAGGAATTATTGAGGTAATTTATGCGAAATTCGGTAATATTTTGAGGACATCTGTCAGAGAACTGTTTTAGTATGTGAATAGTGGTTTAAAGTCTTATCTCAACTTAGAATCGGTCGGTTTTCGGTCTCTACTTGTAGGCGAAGAGTAATAGCCCAAATGCAACTGAATCTGGACTTAGCAGACGACGGTGAACTAGGTGGAGTAACCAAGTGTACTGAGCGCGCATGCTCAGTTCAATGCTTCAATTCTGCGCATGCTCAGTTTATTTTTTTGCTCTCTTAGGCATGCTTAAACCATGGGTTAAACCGTGGGTTAGATTTAGACCATGGGTTATCTAACCCACGCTTTGTGAATACCGAGCGAGGTTTAAACCGTGGGTTAGATTTAGCCTGGGCTAAATAACCCAGGGTTAGATTTAGCCTGGGTTAAATCTAAACCTCCTTTGTGAATTCGGGCCAATGAGTTTTAATAAGACCATTTTGAGCCCAGCAATTCTTGATATCTACCATACGATTGCTGTCTCCCCTTGGCTATGACAACAGGGATGTCTTTGTGTTTGATCTAATGTTAACCTTTAACTATAATTAACATTTTGACTTACCACTAACTCCCACGAGGGTTCTGGTACTTAGTACATGTAGGTCTACGCCAACCTTACTCATCTTGCCTCTGGTATTCTCTGTAAAATTCACCGCTGTCTCCTTCCCAATATTGGCTTTTGAGGCTCGAATATGCACAATGGCACAATCGTTGAAGTGTTCTCTTGGTCGAAAAAAATAAAACGTTCTCGAAAGCATTTGTCCGCTTTTGATCTTGTAGAAGACCTTGAAGCTGCCATGATCCGGGCCATGATGAAATTAGAGTCTATGTCTAGCTCCTCTACAATTCGGCGCCGCCATGGCCGGCCGCGCGCGCTCGTTCAGATCTCCATCGCGTTGCTAGTACTCTCAGTGTGCATTATAATTAATATCGAGATCGAATGCAAAATAATTTAAAAAAATTGGGTATCCTGTTTTCATGACAAAAAAAAAACACATTAAAACTATAGAATTCAAAATTAGGGGAAAAAGGTGAGATTTACTTAAGACCTAAGTTCAATAGTGTGTTTAAGAGAGTAATCTTTGGAATCTATCTTGGAGTGTTGGTGGCTCTGAAAAGAGCCTGTTTTAGGGGGGGGGGGGCAGTTAGAAGCCCGATTGCTGTCCACCCTTGGCTATGACAACAGGGATGACTTTGTCTAGATGGTCGATGAACCGGTTGCATAGTTGTGGTGTTAGCTGCATGCAGAGATAGTCTTGGACTGTATCCGTCAGTTCTTCGATATTAAACGGCCTCCTCTCCTGTACCCATGCCTTCATATGGGCCCACACCTGTTGTATAGTTGTGGTGTTAGCTGTGTGCGGCCATACTCTGGGACTGCATTCGTCAGCTCTTCGATATTAGACGGCCTCCTCTCCTATACCCATGCCTTCATATGGGCCCACACCATCTCGATCTGATTGAGGTCAGGACTTTCTGCGGGAGCTTTCCACCAGAGGATGTCATTTTTAATCATGCACGCCTGGGCTGCCTATGACGTATGCTTAGGGTCATTGTCCTGCATAAATCTATTCTGGGTGGGGTAGACAGCTTGCAGAAAAGGCTTCAACGTTCCTTCTAGAATGGCCTCGCAATAGAAGGTTGCTTTCATGATCCCAGTGAAGACCAAGAAGTCAAGAGTTACCGCGACGTGATATTGCTCCCCACAATTGACCTTTTCCAGGATGTTTGGGTCGATTGAAGTACTTCCTCAGCTCACCGACTTTTCTGAAGGGTTACCATCCCGTTTTGAAACAGTTGGATTGACGTTTCGTCACTGAAGACAACATCTTCAAAGGTGTCGATCACTCTTGTCGTGGAAGCGTTCATTAATTTCTTGCAGTGGGCGACTCGTAATTCCCTATTGATAAGTCTGATCATTTGCACAAACTTTGGCCCACACGTCACCCATCCAAGTCGGCGCCGGAAAGCCTTGATAGTTGATAGTGACACGTTCATCCCGTAGAGCTCTATCAAAATCTGGCGTAGTTTTTCAGCACTCAGCTCGTTATTATTCTCATATGCTGTCTCGATGATATCCTTGAGTGGGTCTAGTCTTGATAGTTGATACCGACACGTTCATCCCGTAGAGCTCTATCAAGATGAGCTCTATGAGATGTTTATATTTATCAAAAAAGTGTTGTTAGTCTAAGCTCCCAAGTGCTATGCACATGGCAGAACTTTTTAATACTAGAAGCACTTCTCAGTTGAAGAATTTAGCGAGATTTACCCGCCTTATTATGTTGAAATTTAATCAAAAACAGAGAAAGAAGATAGTTCAAGCAGTTCAAGAAGTACAATTAGAGCTGAACCTACACGTACTCGTAGCGGTAGGATAGTGAAACAGCCTACTTTATTTACTATTTAGCTTGTAAATAGACTGCATTATACTTATCCTTTTATTATTGTCAGTTTGTCACTATCTACATTCATTGTACATGTACCTGTACATGTATATATAATTTGTGTTTACTAGTTGGTTCATTGTTCATGTTTGTACTTTCATACACTATATACCTATTATCGTTTTTATCTTTGTGTCATTATCTATGTATAATGTATGTGAATTGTATTCATAAGTCATGCATTGTTATTTATACTTTTATGTTTGTTTGTACTCTCATACCCCGAGAGGGGGTCAAAGAGTCAATAAAATTCTAAATAAAATTCTAAATTCTAATCAAAATCTGGCGTAGTTTTTCAGCGCTCAGCTCGTTATCATTCTCATACATGTATGCTGTCTCGATGAGATCCTTGAGTTGGTCTAGTCTGCTTTGTCTTGCTGGTCGTGGCTGAGGTGAGGCTTCAACGTTCCTTCTAGAATGGCCTCGCAATAGAAGGTTGCTTTCATGATCCCGGTGTAGACCAAGAAGTCGGAGGCACCGCAACGTGATATTGCTTCCCACACATGTACTTTTCCAGGATGTTTGGGTCGATTAAAGTACTTCCTCGGCTCACCAACTTTTCTGAAGGATTACTCTCCCGTTTCGAAACAGTTGGATTGACGTTTCGTCACTGAAGACAACATCTTCAAAGGTGTCGATCACTCTTGTCGTAAAAGCGTTCATTAATTTCTTACAGTGAGCGACCCGTAATTCCATGAATTAAGACCAAAAAGTCGGAGTCACCACGACGTGATATTGCTCCCCACACATGAATTTTTTCAGGATGTTTGGGTCGATTAAAGTACTTCCTCGGCTCACCGACTTTTCTCAAGAGTTACCCTCTCGTTTTGAAACAGTTGGATTGACGTTTTGTCACTGAAGACATCATCTTCAAGGGGTCGATCACTCTTGTCGTGGAAGCGTTCATATATTTCTTGCGGTAGGTGACTCGTAATTACCTATTGATAAGTCTTATCATTTGCATGAACTTTGGCCCTTACGACACCCATCCAAGTCGGCGCCGGAAAGCCTTGATAGTTGATACTGACACGTTCATCCTGTAGAGCTCTATCAAAATCTGGCGTAGTTTTTCAGCACTCAGCTCGTTATTATTTTCATATGCTGTCTCCGATAAGATCCTTGAGTGGGTCTAGTCTGCTTTGTCTTGCTGGTCGTGGCTGAGGTGAGGCTTCAACATTCCTTCTAGAATGGCCTATTAATAGAAGGTTGCTTTCATG